TTATCGTTAATATTATTATTATCACCATTATTATTGTTATTGTTATATTATTGCTATTATTTATTGCTATCATTATCAATTATTTCGTGCTGCTCCCTTTTGTTTCTTCATTTTAATTTTTCGAAGTTCGATAAACAGTTGATAGATCTTTCAGGCATGATCATGTGATATAAACGTTAAATCCTCCAAATACAACTCTTCCAGAAGATATCAGAAACGATTAATAAGCGACGTGTGTGACAACCTGATCATAAGTTCCACGATGTATAATTTTCAATTTATTTTATTGTCTGGTATGATAATAATAACGATCTGTTCGGTTTTGCGTTCGAAAACATGGATCTCATTTTTTAATTTGGTATGTTTATCAATTTTAACATAAGTTAATGTGAAGTTAATTAATATGTGGTTATAAATTAGTGACGTTTTTTTTTCAATATATGTGAAAGCTTTTCCACATGAAAATATTTTCAAAAAAATCTTAATTCTTTTTTTAATTTCAAAATTGAAATATTTTGAAACGAAGGAACAGTGCATTTTTTAAGCCAATACCACTATCATTGGTGTTGCTTGCCGCTGTATACATTTTTTATGATTTGAATTGGAAACGGCGATTTCTTCCACCAGGTCCAACTCCATGGCTATTTTTTGGCAATATTCTCCACTTCATTTTTTATAAATCCATAGATGACATGTTTCTTTCATGGAAACAGAAGTATGGTAAGAGTTGTTTCGTTTTTGTTCGGATGTTTATTTGTTGTTTAAAGAAAAAAGTTTCGTTAAATGAAAGTTTTCAGTTGGTTTTCGTTATGTAATAATTGTTGCAGTTTATGGGTCATTAACATATTATCCATTAATTCATTTATGAAGATAAAATTAATAAATTGCTTAAGAAGGAAAATATTCGATTATTCAATGCAAATTAAATCAACTTTAATTAATCCAAAATAATCCTAATAATAGTGCAACGAAGCTATTTGGTTTCATTATTTGATGGAAATTGTAAGTGGTGAAAAAATTATGGAATAAATGGTAGGCAGATGAAGCATTCCAATTACATTCTGTTTCTTCTCGAATAGTTATCTTCACATCTGAGTGCATTTCAACACCATCGAGATATTTCGCTGCTTCCTCAACATAGATGACATTCAAGCAAAATTAATTGTTCGATAAATATTTGCTTACAAAAGAAAGAATTTTGCCATTTAGGTAATGTGATTACATTTTGGATCGGACCGATACCTTTAGTAATGGTTACGGATGGGGAAACGATGCGCGAATATTTTGTACGCAATGCGGAGATATTCAGTAATCGATGGCGTAATTACGCAACCGACTTCTTTATGGGTACTGATACAGAAATTGCTCAATTCTTTCAAAATTCTCATTTTATCTGATAATTTTTTTACATGTGCGGGTTTTTTTTAAATTCTCATCCTCTGGAAACCGACCATAAATTGTGTGTGCATTTTTTCAAACAGTTTGTATGCTCCCTTTTCCTCAAAATCTATGTTATTAAATTTAATAGTGCAATAAAATGTTCTGAATTTCTTTGTCATTCACCCAATTTTGTTTGCATCATACATGTTGGTTTATTTCGATCAATGGTTTTAGATGGTACAAATGGTATAATTCAAATTGATGGCGATAAATGGAAGCAGCAACGGCGCTTTGTACTTCGAGTATTACGAGATTTTGGAGTTGGAAGGATGTTAATAGAAGAGCGGATTATGATGGAAGTTGAAATTTTCATCGATTATATGGAAGCGAAATGTACTGTGCAAGAGGTGGACATATGCGCAATGCATGCCGTTTGTGTTGGCAATATCATTAATAACATATTATTTGGTTATCGTTTTCCACAGGTAATGAAGCACTGTTGAAGCAATATTGAATAAATACTGAATATGAAATGATTGATTTTAATTGATTTCGATAATTAGACCTAAACTAACCAAAGATATTTTATCAGGGAAGTGTGGAATTTAGTTCTTTGCATAAATTACTTGATTCCCATTCTCGATTGGTATTGCATCCTCTGATGGGTCTGTATATATCATTACCGTTCACTACAAGGATACCGCTCATCAATTATAAATGGAAAAAATTCAAGAATCTTCGAGATAAATTGCGGGAATTCATTTCCAAAGAAGTGCAGGTGTAATTAATTGGCATTATTCTTTACTATTTCTTTTGCTAGCTTTTATCAATTTACATCCCTTACTCATTACTGCTAATTCACTTCATACATGATCAATTAATATTCATTTAACGACTCAGGAACACGTGAAAATATTCAATAGCGAAGAACCTCCAGAGATCACAGATTTCACATATGCGTATCTCTCAGAAATAGATCGTAGAAAAAAGGCCGGTGAGCCGACCGAATATTTTAGGTATTAAATTCAATATTTAAATTCCCTTTTAAAAATATAAACATTTCAATCGAGCAGAAATTTTCTCCAGATAACTTATTCCAGTAAAGCAAGTCATTTTATGCATGTGATGGTTTATTATTGGTTGTTGGCTTACTCACTATCGCAGATGAAGCTGTTAATTGTAAACTTTTAAAATTATTTTCACTTAAAAGGTGAATTGTTTGCACTTTTTGATTGCAGCGAATGGCAATTAACAATGCTACTATTGGATTTATTTTTTGCTGGGATGGAAACAACAGTGACAACATTAAAATGGGGATTTCTTCTTTCGATAATTCACCCTGATGTACAAACGAAAGTTCAAAATGAGTTGGATGAAATTGGAAACAGAATTACTCTTGCTGATAAATCAAAATGTTCATATACAATGGCTACCATTCATGTAAGATTGTTGGCCATTGTAAACTTTGTAGCTTTGTTTAGATAATCCTGAAAAATACTAAAAAAAATATTTTTAAAAAAACGCAAAATTTTAAGCAATGTAGTACGAGTATGACAAATAAAATAAATTTTGTAAAGAAAATTTGAAATTCTTTAATTGACAAACAAGACAGATTGGCTTAAAATGACTGAAATCAATTGTTACTGTGTTAATTTATTACGAGAGATATGCTAGAACTCTTCAATACTTTTCCTTTCAGGAAATCCAACGTCTCGCTAATATTTTGCCCATAAATTTATTGAGAACTGTAGCGGAAGATGTCGTTATGGGAAAATATTACTATCCAGCTGGAACGCTTTGTATCCCACAAATTTCAATAGCAATGAATGACCCAACAAATTTTGAAAAGCCTAAGGAATTTCGTCCGGAACGTTTTCTAGAAGATGATGGATTCACCCTTAAAAAGTAATGTCTATTTCAATCAATTTTTGATCCTTAAAATTGAAATTACAAAATAATTATATATTGAAATCTGGTAATGTGCAGAGAACATTCTTGATAATGGTAAAGCAAGATAGTTATCAATCATCAGAATGATTGAGCATATTTAATGAAATACCTGCTAATGAATTATATAGTATGTATGAAATGATCAATTTTTACTCACTTGGCTAATCAATAATTTAGTTTAATTTTTAGGCATGATGCATTTTTTCCATTTTCTATTGGCAAACGACAATGCCTGGGTGAATCATTAGCGAAAGCCGAGCTATTCCTTATTTATGCCAACCTGATGAGGCATTACCGTTTCCGTACCGTGCCAAATAAGCCGAATCCCTCAACAAAACGACTTTTCGGTCTGACAACCTCACCACCTCCATACAAATGTGTTGTGGAGAGAAGGATAGTTTAGTTGCTGATATCAATTTATTCGGAAAATAAGAAATGACAACCGTTCTAAATTGGAATTCTGTAAATCAATTTAAAAATTATACTCCAAACTACTTCAGAAACTTTTCTCATTTATTTTATTCTTATAAGTCAAACCATCAAAAAAAAAGATTCATTTGACATAGTGAAATTTTTGCTGAGTTAGTTAGCATTAAAATGAACATATAACAACAAAGAAGCATTTATAATGAATTGATTTTTATAAAATTTTACATTTTGTTATACGCTTAATTAGCTCAGTTTATTTAATTAAATGTGTTTGTTCAACTGCTGCATCTCTGTTGTTATGTTACATAAATTTGTATTACACATGAAGTTATTTTTGATGTTACAGTTATTAAAATTTGTATGAATATTGATGGAAACGAACTGTCTATTTGCATACTTTGAAATTTTCCACACATATCACATAAATTGAAGATATTATCTTTATCAGTCCATTTTGTCTTTCTTCCCTTTGCAAGGAACATTCTTATCCTCTCAACTTATCATTATTCTTCAATTGCTAAACACAGCACAAAATTTTTTAATTTTTAGAAAAGATTATTTTATTACACGAGTGAAATTCACAAATCTAATTTTAAATAAGTACATAAATTTAGATATTCGTTAAAGAAATTTAAATAATACAATAATATACTAAAGCGGCAGAAAATACATGCCTTTTTTACTTTTACAATTAATTTTAAACGCCAAGTAACGTAAAATGAGTGATAATAATGTTTCGTACAGTTATAAAGGATTAGTCTCGATCGCTCTCAATTGATGTTCTTAATCTCTGACAGTCAGTCATTAAACCTCTTTAATATTCAATGAAATTTATCTGAATATACTGATATATTTCCAGGAAGTTTTAATCAATCAAAATGTCAACTGTATAAAATTTTGAAGTCATTTTCTACTCCGTTTTAATTAAATTACCGCCGCAAATTTAAAAAAAGAATTTGATGCATAAAGTATATGTGCAATTTGTACAATAAAGTGACCAACAAATTGCATAATAAAATTGATCGGCGTGACCATGTAGTTATGAGGTTTGATATTTTTTTTTGAAAATTTATGATTTTTGTTTGAAAAACTTGATTTTTCGTGTACGCTTACTGTATGCTGTCTTTGTGATATTTCAATCCAAAATTCTTTGGTCACGTTCACGTACGTATTCGAAGACATCATTGTTTATAACTGCAGTGAGGTTTTCTTGTAATTAAGTGATGCATTGCTTTTTTTGAATATTTCAAAGTTTCTAATCTTGTTATGATGTTATTTGTTGTGAATTAGATAGCATTTGCAAAAAAATAAATCGGGAATAGAATTTGTACATTTAACGTCGTGCACATAATTTAGCAGACACGTAAGTCATCATTGTTGAAATATTTATTGCAGTGATCAGTGCATTCTTTCAAGAAAACCCATACTGCTATGCGAACTAATGTTGAGCATAATGTGTGCTCGATACTGCGGGTACTTGTAATCATTATTGTATTGAGTAGGCTCTATCGTTGACAGATTGGAAGTTAGGCTGAATTATCTTCATTGTTACTTGCAGATTTAATTCGTTCCAAATTAGTCGCATAACGCATGCCGGCAATGATAGCAGAGGAAATGTACGATCAATCAAAGGATATCACAAGTCGATTAGTTTTAATAATATTCAATTCATTCAATGTTACCAAAGATAATGTATGTCTAGAAAACTAATGCTTTATAGGTTTATTAAATTTTCGAAATTAGAAACCAAATTTCTTGCTTTATTGATTGCAAATCTTATTGGTTATACATTATTTCAGATCGGAAATGTTCATCTGAATAATGAAAGAGTTCGCATTATTGTCTTTTGTGCTACATTTCATTATTGTGAGAAGCCTTATCAGTGCAGTTGTATGAAAGAACTTGAGAAAAAAGGCCTGTCATGGTCAGTTTGACAGATGCACGGTTGCTTTTACTGAAATTCAAATTGTATCTAAATTTCTTGAAAATGAATGTTAATTTATTGGATATAGCATGAAGCGTCAAAACTGGTCCGGTTATTATGACCTGATAAAATGCTTATCTGAAAATACTGTAAAAAAAAATGAAATAATGCAGCGATTAGTTGATAAGCTCAAATAGCTTTTCAACATTGGTAATAGCAATAGTAGCGATAATAGGGTTGTAACTAATTAAAATAATGTGATGAAGTCTTTTTTTACTAATCTTTTCTTCTATTGGAGCGAAGCAAATTGAATTCAGCTATACATTTAATTTCACATCACTCGTGAATCTCTCAGTTCCTTAAGTTTCAATATTTTTCCCTGATATTTCACTTATCTCTTTTAGCAAAAAGTACATCAACAATATCTATCTTCTTAAATCATAATTTTCCGCCCATTTTTTCAATTAAATTTTAATCCATCATATGCAAAAATTTTTTGCCATACTTTAAAAAGTACTTCACATTTGTAATTTCTGTGTTGTAAAAGGTGAAAAAACGAATGAAATGGAGCGTATTTGGAACATTGCGCTGTATTTCTTGTTTTCGTATCTCTGATGTTATAAGTGAAATTGCGACATTCTTTACAAACTTTTATCGATATTCTCATTTTGGAACATCATTTTTCAGTTACACTAACTAATTCGTTCCTAACTATTCAAAATTTTGATGAATCGAAATTAAAATCTCCATCTATTTACACTTTAATAATTATAAATTAAAACGGATAACTTAATTTTCCTTTTCTCCTTCAAAAATATTGAGATTTCATTCTTAAATTTGGCGCCTTTTATTTTACTAAATATCAAAAAATAACCAGTGGTTAATTTCTTTCAATTCGCAAACTTTATCAATTCAAGACGGAATAAAATCTAAAAAAACATCTTGGATTACTTCCGTCTTCTTCAGAGCAACAATAGATGAGGTGCATATGGAAATATGCTTTCCGCTTAAACTAAAGCTCAACTGTCTTTTTTCTAGTTGAAAATCCCCAACTTATAAGCTAATATAAATAAGCAATAAGTGAGAAAGAGAGCGCAGGTCAATTAGAAAAAGATCGATGTGATTGGATGGTTTGGAGAGGATTTTTGTGAAATTATCCCTGTCAATCAACTGATAAGGAAGCGGTGAATGCAAGCGACGCTTTAAATTTATGACATTTTCAGTTGCTCCCATAACTTCCCTCTTTTTTCACTGAGAAATTTGAATCTCCGTATTTTCCTTTTTTTTCTTGCAATAAAAAAGATTTTGAATGTTCTCATTGCTCTCTAATAGCACTTCTTTATTCTCATTGCTAATTACCACTAAACATCACATTTCAGTAAAAATCTTGTCCTCGATAAGAAGTGAAAATTAACTATCACTAATATTCAATAATTCGTCATTGATAATAATATTATGGATTTGGTTATCTAAATAAGAAAATTTGAATTCTCAAAATTTCTCACTAAAATTTTTGGCAAATAAATTTTTTCAGAAATTTATAGTTCAGCAAAAAGCAAAGTGACAGTTGGCAAAATATTGATTGTTTCATGAAATTAATCTAGGATAGAGATAAATCGATTAAAAGAAATTCAATATTAGCAATCTTCAGATTATATAACATTTTAATAGTACATATTATATAACATTTTAATAGTCTTGCAAAAACTTACATCTACAATTTGGTGATGAATAAATATTTTAATTAATTACAGCAAAATTTTAAATATGATGAAAATCTAATAATTAGAAGTCTAGAAAGAATTTAATTTGATGGAATCTAAAAATGACTTTGGTATCAATTAGTTACCGATCACTTGAAACCAATTGCTATAAATAACTAATTGAGCTGAAATATTAGTTGAAGAGAGAAAAATGCCGCCTAGAGCAGAAGCAGAAGCTCAGCAGCTAACGTACCGTAATACGAACAGGAATGGATCTTCAGTGACATCCAATATGCCGACAAGACCTGTATTGGGGTATCGTCGAGCGCAATGAATTGTAATATTTAATCGGCTCTATTCCTTTTCACTGCTATATTTAAGAGCGGAAAAATGACCAGAAAGGTCAAAAAGAACTAACATTACTATCTTCTAAAATGACCTCAAGCAGCCAATTTGCAAATGCTTCTACTAAGTTGGAAAGTTGGCAGAAACAGCTTCTATTGTCATTTGCATTGAATGAATTGAAAATTGATTAAAAAGTTTAAATTTTAGGAAGCAAATTATTGTGTAAAATTTTGAGAAAATTATCAAGAAATTTTTATTTTTTTCTCAACATTCTCAACGAATAATTTCTCAACTTTCGAACACCTATAGCAAAATAAAAAATGAAATCTTATTATTTTCAAGAAACCAATAGAGAATCGCAATCTTTGTGTTTGAAAAAACGTGTAAATGTTTTCGAAAATTTATACCAACTTCGATTTAAAATTAAATGAAATGTCATGGAAGCAATAAACAGAAAAAGAGAGAAGAGAGAAGGACAGAGAGAATAGAGAAAATATTACGCAATGGTAGTAGTTTATACGAATAAAATAAGCGAGAGAGTGTAACGAATAACGTTTTTTGAAATGAAGAAAAAGTGATTAATTAGAAAAGTCACTTATTAATGCTAGTAGTGACTTTTGTCTGAAAAATAATTAATATGGATGAAACTGAGCTATCATATATCACTCACAACTTGCCAGCACTTACTACTGCCGAAATAGCCAACAGTTGACCTGCTGAATGCCCTCAATTTTACTAGCGTTAGTCCACTTCTCGTTGGTGCAATGATTTATATTTATGATTGAAAAGCTTTTTGAAATGAACAAAGAATAACTGAGTGTCGAAAAAGAATTTCAACGATTTTGTTCGTTGAAATTCTTTTTTGACAAAAAAGATTGAAAAAAAAATACAAATCCATGAACAGTAAGGTGATTCCAAGAGAGAAATTTAATATGGATGCTTATGGAGTGTTTTACATATCTACAACACTTTTCACTTTCGAATAGAACACAAACAATTTTTCCAAAAACTTGTATTTTTCGTGCCTAATGCGATAAAGCCACTGAATCAAAATCTATACTGACTTTATCGAGATTGATGCAGATAAATTGATTTCGACTTGACCTTTTATTCGCCTAAACTGTCCAACTCCAGTTTCAAATATTTCAGGATATTAAAATTTGTGATCTATTATGATTTTCATGATTGATAATAATATATTTAGAAAAGGAAGCTTTCAGCTATGATAAAATTAAAAGAAGAAGAGAACAAAAATATTCATCCCAAATCTTCTGAAAAGAAGGCCTCATAAGCAAATATGTAAGAGATTCTTCGAATCCAACGGTTGTGGATCAATTCGTAAAGCATAGAGCTGTCATTGGAGAACAAACATGATATGAGGAGAAACATTATTTCCTTGGAATTTTCCTTATCCTTCTTTTTCTCTCTCCCTTTCCTTCTTTTCTCTGTTTAACAATTTTTAAATCCAAATTCAGGAAATGACCTGTAAGCATATTTTCCGTATTTACATATCTGCTTGTACAATTCTGTACAGGATAATAATTTATCAATACTTGGAATTATTTCTTTTTAAAGCTATAAATTTTATTCCGTCTCTATCCATCATCGTCGTAAAATTCGGTCTTACAAAAAAAGAAGAATAAATATGTTTTGTAGGATGATTTGATGTTATAGGACAATAAAGGGAGGTGAAATTTTAGGAGGGTATCTGTTCCCTTGATTTAATATAGCTTCTATGATATTGCACAATTTGCTTTCGAGCAACTCCACCTTTCTTTATTTCTCTTCAATTCATATAATCTGTGATGAATGTTAATTTCTCTTCCAGTTACATTTTATCAAGTTTATGCTAAAGAGGAGGGGCGGAGTACAGTAGTTAGCTAAGGGAAGCTAGCCACAGATTAGCTTAGGATACTTCGCTTTCTTTCAGGAATGAACAGTTGGCCTAAAGTCAGTTGTTGGTAGTGGACGTTTTTGTTATTCCTGAAGGTAGCAGTTGTTGAAACGAGACCATCTTCCTTGTCTTATTCGTCACCTCGAAATTTAAGAAAATTGTTCGTGGGAGTGAAGTGAACCTGTTCACGGAGTATATAACCATTAGCTTCTCCAGATAGTTGGAAAAGCTTGAAAGGTAAGTCTCCTGAATGGATGTAAATGCTGTTGAAGAGGATGATGATAATGATAAGAATGAGATAATGCTGTTACTAACTCTAATGCAGCTATTTTATTTTATACTAAAGCTTAACACATACATACACGTCAGCACCAACCAACCGCTACCGCCAACACCATCACAATCATCACCATCACCGCCACTACAGCCACAACAGTTGGCCTTTAAGCACAATTCGGCAACAATTGACCATGGAACATATGTGCTAACTTCGGCCGAAGAGTTAGAGTTTTAACATGGTGATACAGCTGTCCCCGCCTGTTGCCACCACAGATGGCGCGCCAACTGGCTTATTTCTAGTATAACTTCAATTCTAGTTAGTTTAGTTTGTTAGCTTAAGCCTAGCTGCTATCGTTCTCGGATAAACATTTGGAATAACTTCGCATCATTTAGAATAAATAGCTTCAATCTGTTACCACTCACACTTACCATCATTTTAATTACATGCATGCCATCCTGAGTAATTAACTACCATCTAATTGAAGTGAATAAGTTGAAATTTTCAAACGAGATCTCCTTTGAGTAAGAAGACTGAAATCGCTTCCAGGAAATATTCATGTTGAGCGATTTTCGCTTTTTTGGTTAGTTTCTCAACTATTTTCCTAAAATCGAACTATCTTTCTCATTAATTTTGCAAAATATATTAACACTAAAACATTTGTAAAATGTCTCAATTATCACTCAATTAATTTTCAGAGTTACATATTACTAGGCATCCCAATTGAAAAATCCAACTACTTTTTCGATATCAAATTAATTATCGGCATGAAAAACGGAATTATCTGGGAAAGGGCTTGCCGATAAGTGTCTAAGTAAATAAACCGAGTAAACAAATTGACAAGCATGCACATTTATATATAAATTTAAAAATGAGAATCAAAAAAGTTTATTTTTTCATAATTACAGATGAACCCAGAAGGGTGTCAATACGATCCACTGTACGGCTACACACAGCCACAAACAAGAATAACAGCGGCGCCGGATATTACAACCTTAACACCTTTTGCACCTCAGGCGGCACCTCTTGGAGAATACTCATCTGCACATGCTCTTTCCACCTATGACCCCTACCGGTAATCCCGTATTCAATCGGAAATATTCTAAGCTTTCAAACAGATATAATAATATCACTCATATCAAACTTTTCTATTATATGATTCTATAACAGTGATTGAATAGTTTTTCCATTTAATTTTATGATTTTATCACGAAATGTTAATTAATCAGATCTGCCTTGGATTCGACAACTTGTTGAAGAGCTTGAGTGCAGTATTTTTGAAACAGCCTATCGATTGATTTGTAATAAGAAAATTTTTCTTTTCAACATTGTTTTCTTATTTCATCTCATTTTCTATTTTACAGATATCCTTCTTACTATCCATCTTACGGTCCCACTACCGGATCCACATCCTTCTATACCACAGACTTAACACCGTTTTCAACAAATCGGAGCAATGCAGACTTTCCGAAATCAGTTCGATCTGACCCTGGAATTGCAAAAGATGTTAAGCAGGAGCAGGATGTTAAAGAGCACGGTTCGTTTTTCCTGACTTACTTATTCAAATCAATATTCAAAAAAAAACACTGAGATTAGAAGAGTAATCATTTTGAAAAATTAGAGTTTAATTTTTACTTAAGAAGTTAAATACATTATTGGCTTTGCTGGCTTTTAAAATTTGAAGTGGTTATGAAAAATATGGAATGTATACGCCAGTTAGTGTTTGCCGCAGAACGTTGTTTATCATTCTGTTGATCTTTCTAATTCCATTGAGCAAGCATTCAACTTAAGCCTAATTTAAAAGCAAAAATCAACCTCGAGTATTTTTTTAATAAAATAAATTTATTCAAATTATAACAATTTTACAAAAACATACATAAATTTCGAAAGATAATTGAATTATCATTTCGAAAGCATTTTGTGTGATGTCATTTTGTTTATATGTTGATAATATTGATCATAGTTTTCACTAACCCTTTCATGCAAGTATTTTATAACACATAGCTGAAAGTTTAGCATTAATTTTTTTGATTTTTTTTTAAATTTAACATTAATTTTTTTCAATCTTAATTTTATTAATTTTTTTTTCCATTTCCTCATTTATCTTTTTCAAGTTCATATTTATTGAATAAGAAAAACAGGAATTATTGCTTTTTCGGTGGAAAAATTTATGCAGATAAGAAAGCAAGCAGAAATAAAAAAAATTTTTTTAGCAGTAGAATTGATTTCGGCAGCAGGCGGTTCAACCAGTGATATTCCAGAAGCGCATGCGGAATTAATCCAGACGAGTACGGATGTTGCTAATACTTCAACTGTAGTGCAGCAACATGCTGAGCCTACACAGGTACCACGAAGATGTAAGTTTTTTAAAATTACTCAAAACAACATCTAACAATCACTCAGTTGAAAATCAAGTTTTCAAGTTTCTACCAGAACATACTACCTATGAAACAGCATTAATGATATTTATTTATTATTTAATTTTGCCCTCTATTTTTTGTTAATATGTTATTTGTCTATTTGCTTACGCTTTTAAGGACAAACAAATATTAGAATTATATTGCTAATATTGCAGTGGACAGAAGGAAAGCAGCGACAATGCGTGAAAGGCGACGATTACGTAAAGTAAATGAAGCATTTGAAGTGGTTAAACAAAGGACATGTCCTAATCCGAATCAAAGATTACCAAAGGTTTTTTTATCTTTTTTTCTCTATCTCATAATGCGAAAGTTTTTAAAAATAATAACGCTTAAAATTAACCTGTTAAATTTTAAAAATTTTTTTAACTTTTCGGATAAAATTGCAAAAAATCATCCAATCCAACAATTTTTATGAATGCTTCGAAAAAAACTCAAAAACTTTTTAACTTTAGGTCGAAATCTTGAGAAGTGCAATTGAATATATCACAAAACTAGAAAATATGCTACAAAGTCAAGGAAAAATGACAAAAATTATGGCTGCTAATCAAGGGATTCACTTGCCGGATAATGACGGACAGGATTATGTTGTCAGTTCATTTCAATTATTGTTTATTTATTTATTTTAAAATGGATTGAAGAGAGTAATGATGTGAAAGAATGCATTACTAATGGACTGCTAAAAATTAGAAACAAAGCTGTTTGCGAAGAAATATAAAATCTTAATTTATTTGAAAAAATATACTAAGATTAATAGCTATAAAAAAGTTATACACATTTATGAAATAAATGAAATAGAGAAATTATCTGAAAATGAATTGTAGAAATTCTGATTCGTATAGAGAAAATCTGCACAACTTTTCTGAAGGATTAAAAAAATCCCTCCTTTTTTAAATGATTTTAGGAGCAAAGCTTCTCAGATATTAAAATTCACTTCTAATTTTTACTGTTTAATTTATATCATTAAATGATTCAAACACTTTAAGACTTTTCTACATTAAATTTTGCTAGTTTTAACAGCATATGATTACTTTGTTCTTATTTTCAATCTGCAATCTGCAAGTAAAATTGATCAGTAATGAGAAAGTCAAAAATCAAAATAATCAGCTACTGTAGAAATTTGGTTTTTATCATATATGCCAAATATCACCATTGTAAGATTTATTACTGCAATATAGCAGCTGTGGATGTGATACATAAGTGATTTATTTGCTGAAATATATATCTGACACGCTGAGAAAAATTTTTGTTCTCAAATTTTTTTGACTCATCATATAAAAATTTTATTTGTCAACAAAAAATAAGTAAAGATTATTTCGAAATTAAAAATAGGAGAAATTTTAAAGTTCTTTCGATTTCACATGCATATATTAATTATCAAAAATGATTGTTAACATATCAGTTTTTGGAATATACGACTAGTAAATCCAATATTAATCGAATTAAGCTTTAATTGATAGGCAGTTTAGTTTGTACTTCTAAAAAAACTCAAACTGTAGTCAAAATAAATTTTGTACATCAGAAATATTTATAATAAGATCTTTTGTTTTGAAAACAATTTTAAAAAATTTATGTTTAATTGCAGTCTGTCCATAATACACCCAACAATGGTTCAACCGCAGCTTACTACGACAGCAAAATGGGAACATTTACGGAAGAGAATGAGGATTTCAGGAGTGTAAGCACCGGCGAAAGCCCTCATGAAGCAAGTCAGATTCAGTAATTGAAAACAAAACTATAAGTTATAGAAGTTTTAGATTTTAATTTGACAATTATTTTATTATGAATCTTTTTAAATAAAAATTTTTGTTCAAAGAGAAAACAAAGCTAATTTTTTTGTATTCTGGAATTGCCTAAATTTCCTAATTATCAAGGAAAAGAAATCAATTCCATCAGCTTTAAAATTTGATTTTATTGATTCCACTTTTCAGCATCATTAATTAATTTTCTAGTTTTTTTGACTAATAAAATTATCTCAGTGCTTCTTAATGTTTTTAATTCCCAAAATACTATCAGTCCTTCAATTTCTTTCAAATCTTAATAATTCTCGAGTCTTTTTTTAAAGATATCTTGTTTTACATCTTTTCAAGAAAAATCTCACACATTACCCTTTTGATCTTCTGAAATTAAAAGTTTCTAATTCTCATTCATGGACAATTCTGAAACAAAAAGAAAAAATAGCTGAAAAATATTATCTGCTTGTGCCTCTTCTTACAATAATCCATACGAAAATTCGATAAAGATTACCAATCAGTGATCACTCCGAAGATATCACCTTTTGAATTCTTTCATAATTTCGTAAATCGAAAATATTTTACTTGTTCATATCGTGCATAACGAAGTATTGTTGAGCTTATCTTTATTATGCAATTATTTCTATATATGCAAAAAGATAATTAAAAATTCAAATGCAGAAGTTTTGATAATCGTATGTTCTATCATATTTTCTGAAATAATCAAAATGAAAGAAATATATTCATCTTACTTATATTATTTCTTGGAGTTGTTCACATTTCGAATACAGTAATCATCAACTGATTTTGGTTATGGTGTGAACTAACCACCACTAAAGTTCAATAATGTGCATTAGCGCTCGTGTCTTTTGAATACGAAGTGAAAGAAACTATTTTGTTTCGAAAGGGTCAAGAATAAAATAGAGAAGGAGAATTGTTTTCTTATTTCGTTTCTATTTAAAACTATTTCAAAGTAAAATCCTAGCAAAATTTCAACTGAAATTTTAGAAATTAGCCCATTTGGTGTACGGTAGCTGGTGTCAGTCATCTCGAGAGATGAAAGTCTTTAGTGATTGATGTCTTATCCATCTATTCCATTTCTCTAGTTGCTCCTTAATTCATTAGTTCACTTCATTCTAAAGAGATGCTTAAAAGAAGCTTTAAACAGGAAGACGGCAATAAGTTCTTTTGAAATTAATGAGGCACGGGATGAAGTTGAAGAGAAGTTAAGAGAGTGGGTAAGAGAAAAGGAGAGAATGTTAGGTTTTCAGAAATTTAGAATAGCTTGTTGGATTTGTGCGTATTTGTATTAGTTGAAATGATGTAGGAATTGAAGAAGGAAGCGCGATAATGCAGTAACAGTGTAATGTGCGTCAGTTGTTCCAACCTGACCTAAAGTTTCTATCTAAACGGGTCGTTAGTGTCACGGAGATATATCATATTTGTATCAATTTTATTTTCCAAAAATTTGAAAAGATATTTTAAAATATTTTGCTTTATTATTTCATTAAAGATGAAAAGTCAAATGATCTACTTTATGATTTTGAAAATTTAAAAAAAGGAAAAGCATTTGAAATATTTTCACGTATCATGTTCAAAATGCTATCTTATATTTCAGTATTTAATGCAAATATTTAAGCTTATTCGAACTATATTTTGAAATAATTCGTAAGAAATCAATGAGTTTCAGGGAAAACATCGGGGAAGAAAAGCTCCTTAGAACGGCTGTCACGTATTGTGGACAGTATCGCAGCTGATGAAGATGAAGGAGTAGCAGAAAGTTCGGGAAGTGAGCCTTCTGCTGTCTGATAAATGATATTTCGAGAATGCTCAATGTTTATTTATCCATTTTTGTCGTGTTTAAAGAAATAATCAGGTTTTACAGGGAAATTATTCGACTTGAAGTATCTGAATGATATAATTTAGTGATAGCTTATTGTTATTTGTTTTAAAAAAGTTTACATTTATTAGAACTATAACAACTAACTTCATAAAAATTAGTTGTTCTAATAACAACTACAAATAACACATATAAAATTATTTAAAATTTCAAACATGTAAATCATTTTTAAATTAATGAAAATTAATTTTATCACTGTAGTTCACCAATAATTCATTGTAATGCGCTGTTTTTTGTATGAGTCACCGTTCTTGAAACAATCTCATCATTAAATTTAAATTCTATTGTTCTTTCTGTTCGGTTCGTAGAATGCAAGAAATCTTATAAATAATTGTAGCATAAATTAATCTAACCACAAAAAGGGTTAAATTTGAGAAGTGTTATAAAATTCATTTCAAATTCAAAACTTTTATTCTGCCAGCCAATCACAATGCAAAAATATTTGATATATATGTAATGACTTAATGTTTGAAATTCACTCGAATTTTGTGATGAGAACTGCAATAATTTATTGTTGTATCGAAATCAATTATTCCACTTTTTTGTGTTTCCTTCACAGAATAGTTGTTGTGAAAAGGAATTTATGGAAGAAATGATGAATGAGTTGATGAGGAGAAAGAGATGAAAGCCTTTTGTTTTACTCTTTCCATACAATTGTTAAACATTCTTGTTTTTCAACTTTAACATTGAAAAATTTGACGTTAAGAAATTTTTGTAAAACTTTGGAAATTTTTTGATACTCCAAAAATTATTGTAAAACTTTGAAAATTTTTTGATATTTTAAATTAGATTGATTTTTTAAACTGAACCTTAATATGTTACTGGAAATATAATTTTTTAACTGAATTTAAAATTTTTGCAATATTTTATTGCAATTTTTCTATGCTTTTGCATTCTTTTTTTCTTTGCTGAATTTATGTTATGCACACATTATCGTAGAAAATTTGTGAATTTGATATGTTTGATAGTGAAAGAAGGAAAGGAAAAAACGTTGAAGTATACGATATAGTCGGAGAAAAAAATTTTAATATTTCTGTGGAATATGAGAGTCATATTTGTGATGTAGCAAAAAAATAAATGACAGTTATTACTGTAAATGTTAAATGACAAATACTATTTTTACTGCCATTCAAAAGAGGATAGCAATTTAAAAGATGAAAAATGAAATAATAGGACAACAACAACAACAACAACAACAACAACAACAAATGGATGGATGAAAATATGCATAAAATATGGCGCAATTTAATATTCATTCATTTCGTGTACATTTGCTAATTGAATTCATCGTTTCACTTCATTCCAACTGCAACAATTCCATCAATCCATTCACTGTTTTGAGCGAAAGAAGTGCAACAATAATAATGATCTGAATTTTTCGCCTTAGGGTATAGCGGATGTTTTGTCCATATGAAAACAATTGCCTTAGGGTATGGTGGATATTCTAAGTTTGCAATCCGGTTATCAGTTTCGCATAACATGTCGCAGGAAAAAGAGATAAAGCTATGAAATAAGCTAACAGTGATAAAAAAGCTTCTCTTCTTACGTTGTGCTATCATCATCTGTTACTGAATTTTAATGTCGTATGATTGTGAAAGATGAAAAAAAAAGAGAGTGGGGATGAATACTTGATGATACTTGAAGGGACAGTACGGATGATGGATGAATTTAGAAAGAAGAGGAAGAAAATGATCAAAAAGTAGATTTGCAAGCAATTTTTGGGTAGCTTTCGCCTTACCCATTTAGACCCGTTTTCATAAGCAGTTTTACTTCTACTTCATGTGATAAGCACGTAGAGATTGAGAGAGAAAGATGAAAAATACATTCAACGAAAAACCCTGACACCCACATACACCTACACACACACACACACATATACACACATACACATACATACACATATACAATCACACATATCTTTACAGGTTATTTCTCCTGGCAACTCCTTTTTTATAAAATCCTTTCTGTTGGCGGTACATTCCAAAATTAACATCTCTTCTATTTACTTTTGTTCGGGTTAAGGTCATTTCAATAAATAGAAGTAAGGGAAAGATTTGTGATGAATAATTTAAAATTTCCATTCTTATCGATGCAACAACAATGCTTAATTGCCGCATACATGCGAACATTTCCATGAAAGTAAAAATATTAGCCATTTTTGGGTTTATGTTTATTTGATTGATTTAAAAAAAATAATAATTTTCGAATCCTTCGATATGATACTTTAAGAAAGCATACCTAATTTTGATAACATCTGACGATAACTGTTTCCCATATGCTAGCCTGAGATTATATATGCATTATATGATCTATGGCTTTGGCGCAAAATATGATAGCATCTTCGACATCGTTAGATCACGAAATTCAGATTCACAATACACAGTTCAATTACACTTCCCTGCTATTAACAACGGTGAGTTTAACTTTTTCACGCAAATATTACCATTAAATGTTCAATATTTCTTCGTTCTATCTCAGATGAAACTTAAAGGTAAGCAAAAATGTTACATACATACTTCGATGCAATAATATGTATTTTACTGTATATGCTGAAACTCAGACCTTTGAAATCTTTATTTTCATATTTTCACATTTATTTTTTCCTCGGCGTTTTGTTACGAAATGATGATATCCTGTTCTAAGGAACTGTTCAAATATTCTTTATACCTTTTTATTACCTCTGGGTTTGAAGTTTAGATTTTAAAAGTTTTCAAATTTTGGAAAAATCTCGTCTCCAGATTAGATGCAACTTTTAAATTTTCTAAAGTTTGCTGTTAATAATTGTTAATAATCAGTACTACCATATTCGGAAATACTATATTTTCTCTGATAATAAAACATTTTGTAATTGATAGTACAACGGAGTTGCGAATTTGATACAGCAATAGTGAAGTACAAACTGAGGTGTGTTACAGAGCTGTGATGTGTGGAACACACGTTTGTACTTCAGTATCGCTATATCAAACTGTATTGATTATTTGATTGGTAAAGCAATAAGTGATTTCAAAACGGTGAATTCAAAAGCGGTAAATTTTTCTTGTAAAAATTGGTAATTTAAGTTTGCACCTGTCACATTTATTTTCATGCTTCTATTCCTAAGGAAACATTTACCATCTATCATTATTATTACTGAAAATAGCATTCTCGCATTGCCAAATCGAGGCTAAATTAAGCGGAAAATGCAGAGAACCACGGCTGCTCCGTTGCAAGCTGCATTTTCGGTATTTTCTTCTTTCGATATTTTATTGATAACATTAACAAGGTGGAAATTCTACTTATTTAGGCAGTATAACCAGGGGGAGGTCAGCTGTGGGAGGGAGGAGATAGATGGTAAAGATGGAGTGCGAGATTAATATTTGCCCACTTTCAATATATCAAAAATTTATCTAAGAATGGAAACATGAATGAATCTCAAAGTAAGTGAAACACGAAAATATCTAACGAGATTTTTTTAACAAGCAATGGAAGTGGAACGATGGCGCTCATCAAAAAAAAAAAATAACATTTGAAAAAACATCTGCTTCGCCTCCCTTTCAAACATTTTCAATAGCTTCTTGAACAGAATCAGAACTGGATACTCTACTTTAAAATTTTCAAACATACAATGTGTTATTTCAAATGACTTAGAAAGGTAAAAATTGATGAAATCTTTAGTGGGCTGAGCTTATAATATGAATATTACATTAATGATATCAGCTTTCACGAAAGTATTACTTTCTTGTAATACGGAATGACAACAACTAATCGATACTATCATACAGTACGGATGGCCAAAAATTTCAGAACGGTTAAATAAAAATATATGATAGCTAACATTATAAATTTCTTTAGAAAATTTTTATGATTGAGATAATATTGAAGAAAATATTGAACTGATTAACTGTGTAAAGAAAATAATCAGATGTTGATGATTTTCAATACAGTTTAAAAGCTCATAAGAACCGAGATCAGTTTTAAATTGCTGCTCAAATGTATTTAAATAGTAGTGTTTAGAAAGTTAAGAAATTATGGGTTACATGAAAAAACAGGAAAAATGTTCACATCCATAAATATTTGCATAGACTGTATAAAAAGATGATTTAATTTTTTAAATTTTTATTAGAGAATATGCTTCTATGATCATAAGATGTTTGAAAAATTGCTAAATATAAGGGAAAAGTTCTCATTTGTGTTTATGTGTCATACCGTATTCCCTTACTTTTTTTGTCATTTATTATAATTGCAAAATATGTAAATTATACATAATTCCATTCATTCAAATTGATCACTTTATTGAATCTATCAATCGTCACTGCAAATACTATGCAGAAAAGGTCTGCAAAATGAGATATAATAAGCATAAATTTAGATTTGATTTCAATAAAGTCATTTAAATGATAATTGAAAGAATTTCAAAAATGCATATTATTATTTTTGCAGGGATATGATAGTGCTTGCTGTTTCACACCAGCATTGTCTTGCATTGTTCCAGCAGAAGCGCAACCGTATATTTTGCCGTATACTTTGCCACCAACTTCATATATCGTTAATTCTTCAAGACAATGCGAAAGCATGAAGAAAAGAGAAATAAGTCCTTGTAAATTAATTGCGACTACTCCGCCGCATGCTGCATCCTGTACGTTCCTAATTTTCTTGACAATTTCACTTCATTTTTTTTTCAGAAATAAGCACATCCACATTCTACCGCTATTGATCACATTGTATTAAAGCAATGGAAATAGCTTACGTACGTGTATGTGAACATGTATGTGTATGAGCGTATACGTGTATGTGTATATATGACTCTTTCTGCTATGTCTCTCATAATTAATGCTATTTTATTAAGTGCATAAATTATTAATATTTTCCTTTGGTAAAAATTGCTGTAAAATAAACTGACATTTTTTGAATTCTTTCAAGCTAAAAATAAACTTGGACGACCATATAATCCTGGCCGACCGCTTGCAATGGAAGAAAGACAAAAAATTTTACAACTCTACGAAAAAGGTTACAGAATAAGCCATATTGCTCGTATTATCGGAGTGACACACAGTTGTGTTTCAAAAATTATGACAAGGTTTGATGTTTATTATTTAAAATGTAGGATATTGATAAAAAAGATCTTCAAGGTATAATTAATTTCAGTGCCATTTCATGCATCATTTAGTAGCAGATAATAAAAATTGTCCGGTTGATCAGGAATAGGTCATTCCGAATGGTCATTATAAACTTCATCAAAATATTACTAAAAGTGTTGAGTGCAAAAAAAAGAAATGATTTAAAAATAACAATTGGAAAATAAAAACATTTTCTGTCAAATGAAAATTTAATATTTTGCAGATATCGGCGTACAGGTTCCATGCAACCGCGTTCCACATGTTCTACGACGAAGAAAAATATAGACTATAACAGTGACATGAATATTGATTCGGTCTCGAATAATAATTATCAGAAATTATGCAGAAGCTATACTGTTGATGCTACATTAAGTGATACCAGTCGACCAGTCAAGTCTTATTTAATTCAAAGGTACACATATTTTCATTGAAGAATATACATGTGAAAAAGGGTAATAGTTTCAAAACAAAACATCCATCTAACGCAATTTTTATAGATGTGAAAAATATGTGATTTTCAAAGGAATTTAAAAAAAAGTTCGCTGCCCCAAAACACTTCAAAATATCAAATTTTTAAAAATAAGAAATAATCAAATGAATGAATTCTTTTTCACGCAAAATTTCTTGAATTTATTTTTTTAATTTTCAATTTACAGCATATTATGCGAAAGATAATTATTTATGGTTGGAATATTCTTTATTGAAACATGATTATTACTACAATAACTCAGTGGCTACTTCATCTGCCAGTGATAGTATTTTTTTTTTTTTTTTGTAAAAAAATTTGGTTAACGTATAGCTGTACAGGGTAATAGTCAATAAATTTGTCTACACATAATATTAGTGTAATTCATCATTAAATTTTCCTCATTTCATCTTATATGTTTTGTTTTTATTTTTTGATTAAATGTTTTGTAATTATCGTTAAAAAATATCCCATATTAATTACCATTTGCTATTTTTAGAGAAAAAGTTTAATTAGGAAAGAAACACAAAATAATAAGAGGAAATCATGAGAATTTTGATGAAAAATTACTCATTATTTATTCATACAACGATATAAAGTTGTTCACTAATCCATTTTACATTTACATTTCGTAATCTTCACATTTGATCGTTATTCCGAAAACTTAAAAATATCTGTTTTTTTGACTAAGTTTCAATCATTTTATTATTTGTAATTAAATGGAATTAATACTTCGCTTCGAAATATTTAGCAACAGTAATGAGATAATGCAAAGTTTTATTATTTCAATTTTAATTTATGCTTCGTGAAATTAAGTGAAACACAATAGTGTGACAATTAGTGGTTGGAATTTTTGAAGCATAATGAAGAAATACCTCTTCCATTACTGTATCCATTCATTAAGTATATCTCCCAGTAATAATAACATTTGAAAAGAATTACTATCCCTTACAACTACTTGCATAACTCAAGTAAGCTGTAAAGAATTCTGCGATTTTTTCTTTAGCAATTTTTTTAGCATTTATGTACTCGCACAATGTCCTGTGAAGATACACATATTGACCTTCCGTTTGTACAGCACCAGCTCGTTGTGCTCGTATTTCTTTTATGACATCCAGCACCTGAATTAAAAATTAGAATTTAGGATACATATCTTTTCTGGATAATTGTGACCTGACAGGTTTGCAAGAAAGAGAAAGATAACAAAAATATAAGAAAAATTAGTGAGGTATAGTTTGAATAGTTTCTATGATAGCAAAAAAGAGACTGCTTTAATGTGTTAGCTAATAGATTGGTTACCAAAACAAAATTATGTCGAAATATGCTGAGAAATGATTTTTGTTTGTCGATACTGCTTTCAAATATTACATAAAAAATCTTACATTGAGATCTTTCCCTTCAAGAAGGATTTTCAAGCAGATCTCACACGCGACGATTGTTCCCGTTCTACCAATACCCGCTGAACAATGAATAATTGCTGTACTCTGAGGTTGGTCTCGAATTTGACGAAGGATTCGCAACATTCCCATTCCAGACGTTGGTACACCAAAATCTGGAATTACTCTCTTATTTGAAGAGGAAACGAATTATAAACTGTTACTGCAAAAAAAGATTCCGAAAAATCTACTCGAATCTTTGAAATAACTTTTTATTTTCGTGATCAGATTGTTTTTCAAGGTTTTTTTTTCAAAAATTATTTGCAAAATTTAAATCTCAAATTTGACTCTAATTTGATTCTCAGTTGGTATCTCAAAATCAAATTTCATAGAAAATTTAAGAAAAAAAAAACTAAACAGTCTATTTTACCTGGCCAGTCCAACCATTTAAATAGTGTTACTACAACTGCTGAATTTCCCCTCACGCTAACATTCATTTCAATCGATTCAAAAACCTAAGTAAATTTTTCAGTAATATTTTCCGAATAAAATGTTGGAATTAAAGATTTATGGAAATAATAAAAATATGATCTCTTTCTTAACAATTTAATTACAAAAATAATCATAGTAAAAAGTAATTCTGCTCCACGAATTTTCATGGCTATAATTTTATAAAAGTACAGAATATGACTAAAATTGAAATTATTGAACTTTTTCTGAAGATTGTGAAGTTTTTCGGACGTTTTTGACAGTAACCATTCCGTATTGCTTTGTTTCACCACGATTTAATGGAAAATATTGTGAGCATTTTTGTTTTCCGCATTCGATCACTTTGCACAACATGACGATTGTTTTCGGCTTCTCTTGCCATACCAATCGCCAAAAATCATTTACTGTCGAATCCATTGGGCCCTTCAACTTTTTAGTTTTGTAGCAGCGAAATGTATACTAATAAACAGTATAAAGTTCAATTACTAAATAAAACAGGAATTTTCTCCCTGATTATAGTAACTTACGTTTGTACAATTTGTTAATGATAGAATTTTCCAAGGATCCTATGAAAGGTATGATTAAAGTAATATTGATAAGAAAGATTTTCACACCTGAGTGCAAATAAAATTGTTGGGAAGATTGCAAAGCGATGTTCGAACATAGTTAGCATGAATGTAATCTCTGTCCGGTGGCACATTGAATCTATGAAATGAGTTGTTTCTTAATTAATTTATACACATTTCTTTCTTTTCAAACATTTGCTAAGCTTTCGTAATATTTGTGCTAACTATAGCAAATGTAAAAGAAAAGAGAAAAACGAAATACTAATGTAAATAATAGTTAAATTACTTCAACACAACTCTTGTATGATCGTAGCAAATGACATTGTTGTATCGATTACAATCCATATTTCTATTAAAAGCTGCTTGTGAGGTTACTTTTGGTACAAATGTTTTCAACGTTGCAAACTCTGCTCGCAAACCGTCTATTTCTTGAAAAAATTTTTTTGATAAAATTTAAAACTATGAAAGTTTTTCATAAATTTACAGTTGATAATTAACAGAATGCTTCAACTCGATGAAATGAAGGCAAGTTATTTTTGATTTTTAACTAAATGTAAAAATATCTGATCATAAATTTCATCTATGCTACATATAAAACTGCATCAATCAATTTATAGTAAAATATAGGTAGATTTATTGATTACCACTTTTTTTTAGCTAAGAATTCACATATTTACAATTTTCATAATTAATGCAATGCTTTACTTTGTTATTAATAATCAATAGAATAATCTGGTCAAATGACCACAAAGAAACTTTTTTTTTCATTTCAATAATTCAAAAGTTTTTCGTTGTTTAATATCATCAAGCAAAGATTCTCAAACTGAAATGAAATTTCAAAAGCTTTCTGAGCTATCCTTCTCATCCATATTTACTATATCATTCTATTCCATCACTATTATTCCACAGCATCACGAATCATTAAGAATATTATGTCTGTTCAAATTTTGATCAGAAGCGACATTCGATTCTATTGGAAAGTTGCATAATGAAAATTGAAAGATTAAAAATTATCGCTTACTAGCCAATAATGTAAAAATTACTGTTCTATAATGTTTTTGCTCCAAAAATTATTTCTTTTTTGCTGTAAAGTAAATGAGCGGTCGCTTATCTCTTTCTATGTGTTATTGACAAATCGATGATTTCAAGCTATGAGACATGAAAAAGACAAATGATAGTACTTTTAGCAACAGTAGCAAGCGCAAATTTTTCCAATGCATGATCAGGGCCTGATTTTTTCTTCGGTCTCGTCATAAGGACCGCTCCTCCTTCATCATCTTCTACCGTAGCCATTGTGATCAGCTGTTCCTCCACTGTGACATCTTTCTTGCTTTTCTTCTACAATTTCTCCCATAAGTTCAGAAAAAAATTGGTCCTTAACAATATGTATACATGTCATTTAACGCTTTGCGAACTGATTTAATTAATTCAACTGTTCATTGCTCTTTCCTATCGTCTTTTTTACATTTATCACTGGCAAATTGAAACATTTCATTCTAAAATAAATTTTCAGTAATATCAGAATTGAATTGGTCAGTTGGGATACATTAGAAAAAAAAACACAATGCTTCAAAAAAAAGTTGCTTTGTCAAATATTATGAGTGATTCGAATGAAATAGCTTAAATAGATTCAGACCGACGAAGCAATTTTTAGCAAAGTTCGGGTAAGGCTGCCTTACTTCTTTAAATACATTTGTCCCAAATAAACTACATTGAAATCCAGTAAGAGATGAAATAAGGTAGACAAAATGCCACTTGTACAGTATTCATATAAAAACACCATTTTGAATCTTTTTTGCGATTTTGCCTCTATTAATCTTTCTTTTTAAATTTAAATCTTTTTGTTTTGTCTTCAAGAAACATTTCCGACTTTCTCTTCTCCGCACTCCTGATTTGCTTTATTACAGCGTCTGATTTAGCAGACTTTGCAATAATTTACGCACATTGCACAGTTTCTAATGGTAAAATAAGACAGAGATATGCCTTGGATATCCCTCATATGAAAAGTGAAGATATTTTCAATTCACGATTTCAAAATTTTAAAAAGAAGGGCCTCACTACTTCGATCCATTATATTCATCAAAAAAAAACACTGATACTTGACAACATATTTTTCATCAGTTTTTTTTGATAAAACTCTAAATTTATTTAACTTTCCATCTTTGGGCACCATGATTCCAATGCTTCAAGACATTCCAGACTAACTCACTGATTTGGATTTCCTGCGCTTTACCATACTGCACTCTCGACAATAATTTCATCTAATAATGACTTTCTACAATCATTCAAGTCTTTTATAATGTGCAAATGCAAGGAAATTTAATGATGTCTGAGACGCAAAATAAGGAATTAAAGTACATTCAAATCATATTACAGACGTTTCCAGAATTTTATACTATTCAGAACTTCTGAAAAGCAACTCCTACAATTTCGGAAGCTGCCTAAATTATTACAGTCTGGTACCCTTCTCACTCCCAACAGCGATACGGCTATTAAAATTTAAGATTTTCAAATACAAAATATATCATTTATGTTGGATGTTTAAGTTACATCGTAATGAAGACTCACTTCAGTGACTTAAAAGCTCTAATATGCAACAGTGACATGAAAATCAAAGTAATCTTTGACGTTCAGTTAAACTCACAGCTTCAAATATTCTTCCTGAACGAGCGAAATTTATCGATCGTATATATACAATCCGATACGTTGCTGAATAACATATTAGTAATTCATGAAAGCATATCATAAATTGCAACAGAACTATTTCATAAAACAAATCCACATAGTTTATCAAAGACATCACCTTCAAATAACTACACATACCAAAAACATTAATTCTAGCAGTATAAATTATCCAATTTCAGTAGATATTGAAATTCATTTGTGAACGACTGTTAAAAACAATAACTTAAGATAATAACAAAGAATATTTTTTTAGTCAACACTTTCACTCTATTAATTTATCCAAGATTCTATTAAACCCGCATAATGAGTTGTGAACAATCCTCGATTGTTAAACTAAAAGAATTTATAAACAAGAACTGTTGCTGCCAAACATAAATATTATATATGCAAAATTCTCGCATGTAATACTGGCCTAAATTTAGCATTTGATCACATGACTGGTAGAATATTAAAATGTTTCTTTTCCTAACTGCTTACAAATCAATTTCGAAAAATATTAAAGACGAGAAAAAAGCCCTCAAAAGTGATGGTCTGGAATGTACCAAATTACGGACTTTATTCCGATTCACTCGCACTTACAAATAAAAATCTACAATAAACATAAAATTAGTATTTATAAACATTGAAAAATTTTATGAGTAGAGCGGAACAATGACAAACATACTGCGAGGGTATTGATGTTATAGACATTGAACACACATATGCAGAAGTTTATTAAAAATTGTGATTTTACTCAACCTTAACTCACATTGTAAATCAAAAATGGAGAATCAAAATGCAGCAAAACATGACGAAAAGATTAGTTTTGTTGCTGAAGATTCAGGTGGTATTCACTAGATGAATTTGCGGCAGCATTTCCATTCATTGTTATCACCTGATTCGCAGCATCAACATTAAATTCCTGCAATAATGAAGCGCGCAATCAAGTCACCAATCTGTAGTATATTTAGTGTTTTTTTGTAATGAGTAATTGAAGCTGTAACATGCACGCAAAATGGACTGTAACCAAATAAGCTTGATATATATCTCGCATATTGTTGGCATATCCAAAGTGACCGATATAACACTGCAAAACTTATGCTGCTTTCAATGTATTCTCTTTACCGGTAGCTAAAAATTCTAAACAGATCTGGAAGCAGCACAAAAAAATTTAAATATGATTTGTTAAGAAAATCAACAGCAAAAATTTCTAAGGATAATACCAATCAAGGAGATTAAAGTAACCTGTAGCAAATGTTGTCCATTTACTCTAAGTCCAAATGCACGTGAAAAATTGCGTCGGATTTGATCATCTCGCCGCCGTCGTTCTTCTGCTAATAACTGCTGACATTCACCGATTATTATTTGTGCTCCACGATCTTAAAATTATCAGCTCCTGGCTTACTATTCTTTATCAATATGAAATTTTAGCATGAATGTCATTAATTCTCAACCAACAACTATCAGCAAAAATTACCAAAGAAAAAAATTGTCTTATTTTAGGTTATTCCTTCTTTGGAAATAAATACAAACAACCGCGGAAGAATGAATTATGAGAATTATTTGTGCTATTACAATAGCAACAACGCCATTACACAACATACGGATGTTGTTCAATTGAATATAAAAACATACTACTGCAACTGCACTTTTGTAGTACTGCGATAGCTTTTTCGTACATGTTTACTTTTGAAAGTGCCAATCCTTTACGATATAAGGCTTTTTCATTCGAAGGCTGTACCGACAAAACCTACGAAAAGATTTATTTCACGTGAAATACTGAAGGCAAAATTTCTTGTAATTTTACATTCTCAAATTAAATTATTGCTGGAATTTTTCAAAAGATTATTTGAATCATTCAAATCAAAGAGAATAATACTGCATGCTAACTTACTATGTACAAAGATATTATTATAACTCGCTATAATTTACCTTATCACAGTATTCCACAGCACGAAGAAAATCAGGTTCAGTACGATTCCGTCCTTTCAAAATGCATGCTGCTAAATTACTGTAACACTTCAATGCGATATCAGTCGCTTCTGTTTTCATTTCTTCACCTCGGCTTGTTGAACTAATTCTTTTGCGTCGTTCGCCAAATTTTTCAGCGTCCTGCTCTTTTTTTAATTTAATAATATTATAACAAAAATGACATATGAATAACAAGGAGTAAAAAATATAATCCAGTAAGGCACAGAAGAATTAGTCATCCTAGCCTTTTGATCAATTTTAAATTATTTAAACAAATTTATGAAATTTTAGATCTTTTAATGACATTAAATGTTTAAAACTGTAAGGAGATAAACTATTCTTAAAAATGGGGTAACTATTTCAAACTGCTGCAACATCCAAACGTGAAACAAAACTTACTAATGATTCACCAGCAACATTATTCACATTGACAACTTTACTACTTCCTTCCATGCTTCCATTTTCTTCTTGGTCACTTATCGACTCATCTACGTTGCGCTCCTTGCGCGCTAAGCCTAAAAAAGAGTGAAACTTTGGTAAAATATTAATCTCACGAAGTAAATCGACAAAGTAACAATACGTGGACAACACTGACGCGATGATTCCTACCTCACTTAGCTTTATATACAATTTAATGATTTAGAGAACAATGAAAATAACTGATTCACTGAATCTTAAAGTGTCTTTAATTTCCCAAAAAATATCATGTTGGATGTAATCCAGAAGACTAAAAAGATAAAATAAAAAAGAAAGCTTATCACGAACTCTGCAATTCAAATTGTGAAAGCTGTTGAATCGCTCGAGCGCGAAGTAAGCATTGGTGATACAGATAGATCGCTGCACTGAAATCTCAGCTTATGAAAATACCAAAAATTCTGCTATTTTGCATAAAACATAAACGGATGCTAATTCATTCTCATGAATGTTTAGAATTATTTGATTGAGATTTATATATGTCTAACAGAGCACAAATAACATTTGCTGAAATTTTGAACTTCGAGATAAATGTTAACAATAAGTCACGGGATCAGATGATCACAGGATCACGGAATCAGATCCATATGCAGGAATACGTAGAAGAAATGGAACTACAAATAATTTTTATACAGCTCTATGCTTGTGCAATTAGATTACTCGTTTGTCAGCAAAAAAGTGATAAGAATGATAAATTCCAGTAGATTTTCTTGATTTCCAGAACATTTCCTAATAAATTATATCACTGTTATTGAAGAATAATTATTAATTAACACAGCTTGATAGCAGAGCTATGATATCAAAGTTTCATTTCTCGTTTATTTCGAAAATAATTTGAAATCAATGTACCGGTATTTGGCTGTTCAATTTTTTTGGTTCATTGCAAAATGGCTAACTAAGTTATTCTCACGAAGATTTTATTCCCGTAAACTGTCAATAAATTATTCTAACGTTTTACTTCGTTCAATTGTCGACTATTAATAAGTTGAAATTATGCAATGTAATAGAGCGTGCAAAGAAATCAAACAAAAAAAGATTCAGTAAAGAAATAAACAAACGCAAACACAGCTTTAAGAGATAGAAATGTAAATTGCCTAAATTAAAATTTAAAAAATCTTTAGAAAACAAAAAAATTAAGAGCATGAAAAAGTGGAAACTCATAATATAAAATATTCACCAAAATATTCGTACCGTTGAATTATAAAAGAAAATCCCAGTAAAAAAGTAATATTATAAAAACTAACCCATAATCTTTTGCGCTATATCGAGCATTTGCTTGCTCCTTGAATCGATACGCCTCGCTCAAATTGTAAGCATCTTGAGTTGTCTTATCCACTTTCGACAAGTCAACATTACCTGTCATCACCACTAAAAACCATGACAAATAATCGGCTAACAATATCCAACTTTTCCATACCCTACCGTATCTGAATATTATCCATACCGATAACTTCTATTACAGACAATTTCAAAAAAAAAGATTGAGATGAAGAAAAATTAACAGGTTACAATAACGTCTCATTAAAACTTTCATTATTTCTCATAAAAATAAATACCTCATACTGTCTTTCTCTATCAAAACAACAACAACAACAACACCTTCAATCCGAACCATCTACACTGCCATACCCCTTCCTCAGAACACAGAAACCCTATCGCTGTCAACAACCTCATCCGTAAACAAAACAAATGCAAATTCCAAACAACGCTGGCAACAATCCAACGAAAGTGTCGCATCATCGTCTACTCACTGTGCAAAATTTCCATCTCTGTCAGTTTTTTAATTTGAAATGCAAAATTGTTTAGTGACTGATAGCTAATTAATATACTAAGTAAACAAGCGAATATTTCCCAATATCGTATCAGTTTCATGATTGATCTTATATGGAGCATTTTCCCGTTGACTCTTATAAAATTATCCAGAAATACTAAATGTTTTTGCTTAAAGATTATTTCGGATACGAAAATCGTAAATCCTTTATTCTTATCCATATCTCTTCCTCCCTCTCTCTCCCCTCCTCTCTCTGTCCGTATTTCTCAAGAAAATACTATCATCAAATTGTGGAAATCATAAAAGAGTTAAATACGAGCCTAAAAGAACACAACTGTATGAAGTGTTCAATATTGAAGGATAGATGTACTCTATTGATTTAGCATTAAAGATGTACAGAATATCATGAAAAAGCAGAAATGTCATCATTTGAAAGACAATGAAATGTAAATTAAACATTTTCCCTTTCGTGTAAACTCATTCAGGTGGATTTAAATGTGTCTTTCTGCATTATGCGTGTAAGTTTTTGCACGTTCAACATTTCATCACGTTTTTTTAAATGCAGTGAATTGACAAAATTTGAGTAGATTTTCTTAATTTTCGTATACATTTTCTAGCAAATTATATCACTGCTGTTGAAGAATGTACAAAATGGTTGAGTTATGGAATAAGTTATTCTGAGATTTTACTCTGCTCACTTATTAATAATCTATTCTAACTGAGATTTTTTGTTTACTTATGATTATTAAAAGTTGAAATTATGCAATGTATTGGAGTGTGCAAAGAAATAAACAACATAAATATAGCTTTAAGAGCCGGTTTTTTGAGAATTTCTCCAGGAACATATAGGAGAAACAAGTATTTCTATTTGAATGTTACAATTAAAATCTTTTTTTAAATTAACTGACAAGGCATTTCAAGATGATATGTAATATTGATCGATTTTAAACACTGTCTGATACTTGATAAACTTTTCAAATTGGTAGTGAACAATTTTTTGCTCGCTTTTACAGTAAAAACGAATGCAGTAAAATTATTAAAGTAATAAAATATTTTCAATAATTCAAGACACGTGAAATGCAAATTTCATATTGTATTTGATTCCATCTTTATGAGATTACATTTAATTCAATCCAAAAACGGAAAGCTTATAAATTTTAATGAATAGAATGTAATTTGCTGTGACAATGAGACAACATAATGTTAAGCTGTCATATCATATTGAATGGTCTTCGTGGTAATTTTAATCCAATTATACGCAATTCGTGAATTTAATACTCAACTACAAACTGCGTTTGAACTTGTTCCCCACACTTAAAGAGACCACAAGGAGAAATTAAAAACTATTTTTAAAATACTTGGTTCTTTTTACGGATTAAATTTTTCTCATTTTTCATAAGATATAATATACAGTCTTGAATTTACATGAATTAGATTATTTCGATTTCTTCAATAGCCTGCTATCTAAAGTGCTTCTTTTTTTTCTAATGATTAAAAAAATATTGAAAGTAGAATGTAGTATATATATATTGCCTTTAATCCAAAATTTACTTTCATTTCAAATTTCAATCCAACTTTGAACAAATTACTAGTTGTTATTTCCAAGCAAATTTAATTAGGACACGACTTAGATGCGAGCGTAAATGAAGATAAAATGACTTGAATGGTATCATAAACACATCTGAGATAAAGGTGGCGATAGGTACGACTACAACAAATAATTGAAGAATAGTTGGTTGTACTTTTGATTAAAAAGAAGAAAGAAATGTTAGATAAAATGTTCTACTCATTTATTTTTGCTGCTGTCATTAACACAATCATAATGGCTTCCAAGTTGGTTTCACTTCTTTACGCTTTGTTTAATGTTAGGGCGATTATTTATTTTCACAAATTCGTTTTTCTAGTTCAGTGAAATTAAACTTGAAGAGTTCAGTTGCTTCATGCCATAACCCCTAATGGCACTATTTTGTCCGGTCAATTTTGAGCTGAACATTGTACAAATGACCACTCATCTCAGACACCCATCACACGTGAACGACATTTTGCCTCCCCTCCTGGGAAAGCAGTCAAAAATTGTTCCCCGGGTCTTGGACAAGGCCCTGGATAAAGATTAGACAATGCCTTGTCTTTATTGCCAGTAGTCATTTCACCCAGCATCCAATGATCGATTGTTTCATAGAGCTATAGTTATGCAGAGAAAAAAAGGGCACTCTCTCATTCACATATGTCCTTACTTTTCCCTTTGTTTACCAGACGCGGCACTTTATAGAAATCCAAAAAAAAAATGAAAAGATGGGTGAGCAAAGAGATAAGAGAAGAGAAGAAGAGAAAGAGAGAGACGGACTGCTATAACGGCAATGAAGAAAAAGCTGCATCCGTAAGATGTGACTGTTAGAAGTGACGCAACGGTAGTTATGATCTGTGGTACGTGATACCTGTACGCTTATAATATATAGGAATGTAAAGCTGAATGACTCATCGGAAGCTTGCTTTTCAAATGTACAGTCCGGTGATTCATCGATCAGTGGTGTTGTTTTCCCGGACCAACTTCTTCATCCATCATCCATATTTCCATTCTCAGCACATTCATAACTTTTTCAGGTTGATCCCTCAACATCATAATATAGTATTACGTAACACACAGATATCATCCTTCATTGAATTAATTCAATTGCTAATTAATAATTTCATGTTTAGAACGTTCCAAAATTTTACTTCAAAGCAAAATAGCCGAAACTCTGAGAAAAGAAGTTTCGTTAAGAAACAAAACGGGGACGTCTACAACACTCAGGATTCCCAGGCTGTCTCCGATCCAAGTACTAACCGGCCCAACTTTGCTTAACTTGACAGATCGGACGAGATGTCGTGCTTTCAACGTGGTATAGTCGTAAACATGTCATGACATAACGAATACACCAAACTTCCACATCCTTCCTTGTGAAACCGGTTTGCTCTCCCGTTCCAAAATCTTGCTTCAAGCCACAGTAGCCTAGCCTTGGGGCCGAAACATTCAACCACCTTAAGTTTGGGTAATTGACCGAGAAATGCAACTCCAACACACTGATACGTTTGTGCTGCACTCAACAATCAATTAACAATATAGTATTCATAGGATATGCTAAGCTTGTACTTGGTTATGTTTGTCAGTATCGCAATTTCAGGCTAATTATCGATCATTTCGAAATATATTAGACTAATTGAAATGTCCACCTCACTATATTTTACGCAAATAACATTATGAAATTGGGCAGGTCAGTTATGACAAAATTTACAGGAATAAAAAATATATTGTAAAAACATAAATTGATTTTGATATAAACTGATTTCGACATTTTCATGGAAGCGATGATCGATGAAAGAACAGATTAACTTTCAAAAAACGGGAATAAATTCTTAAAAAAGCATATCATTTAAGTATGATGGCATAACATATCAATCATCTTTCTACTTAAAAAACCAAGATCATATAAAATTCACACTAACATTGTATCAAATCATTTTGTTATGAGAATCTTATTTGATTACGATTTTTCAAAGGGCATTCGTTTGCATACCTGAGATTTCAAAATGATTGATATTCGATATCAATTTACATTCTGCTTTCTCTGATTTGATTTTTCATTTAAAGGCATTTCTTTGATCTTTCATTTAAAAGTTTGCGGAATTTAACAAAAAAAATGTTTGAATGATGTTAAAATTTTTCTTTCATATTTTATTCCAATACAGAACAAAGTATGTACTAAGCAGTTAGAATATTAGCATATTTAACATCAATTCAAATAAGCACAAGTGTTAAGAGCACGAAAGCTAGTCATCGATTAGTGACAAAATGAATGAATAATTAAATTCAAATGACATAAGAAACTACAATCAATTCTTCGATCATTCAGTGCATTTCAAATTTTGGGAACCCTTAGAAATACGGTTTGGTGGGAAATGTAATTTGAGAGATGAATACCACCATCAGTTAGATTATCATATAGTATTGTGTGTGTCGCTTAATTTGAAATATCTTCTCCAGAATCAAAATACAATCTTTTCTTTTGCAGTCAACAACTACATTAATTCCAGATTACTGTTCAGAATCGAGAATATTTGCATTTATTGTCGAACCGGAAAATTAATCCTATTCATTTGATTATTTTGCTCAATTTTAGAAAGTTTCAAAGTGAGATGAAGTAATGCAAATTTATTTACAAATCATTAGCACATTCATAATTTGTTATAAGTTTGTTGAAGATTTAGAAGCCAAAATATGCATGTAATAATTTTCTGCTGGAAAATTTCATGCAATTTACAATGCTTCTCCTGATTAACTTCTATTGTTCTAATTCAAACTTAAATTAGAATTATCGTTGCTTGTTTGCCTGTAACAAATTTCAACATCCATCAATATGCAATGTTATTCATGAAGATAGCTTTGTAATGCAAAGAATATCAGATCAATCATCTGAGGCTAGAGCACGAGAAAAGAAGCTAGGTGAGATCTATCAGTCACAAGCGCTATCATCATCATCATCATCACCAGCATTCATCATCAAATTAAGAAAGGAGAAGCTAGGTGAAACTCTACTAGTCACAAGCGCTATCATCATTATTAACGTCATCATCATCCTTGCTATCGTCATCTGCAAGATAAGCTTACTTGGTTGAGAAGAGGAGGGGGAGGAGGAGTAGGGAGAAAAGCCACTGATAGCGGTAGCAATAACATCTGTTCAGCTACAGCATTATTCCCGAATCTGATTGCTACTGATTGCTGTGGCACTATTGTAACATCCAGTCTTTTCCGACTGCCTTTTTAAAAAAAGAAAAACTTTACTATAGATATGATGTGATTTTGATAAGAATTCGTTATGCTAAAGTAATTAATTTCGGATATGAATGTTGAATTTCAGTATTGCTAGTTTTTATAGGAATTTAGACTGAACGTTTTTTAGTAATTGAAACTAAATTTTCTGGATCAATTTTATATTTGAATGCATTTTGCATAGAAATATTGGTTATATTATGAGTTTAACTTCTACATGGGAAATGTAAGAACCATTTTTTTACTTTTTAAAAAAAATTCTAAATCTTCATATTTCTCGAAAAATTCGGTCCATTAAGCATTGTTAGTTAACAATCTTTACTGATTATTCGTTATATGCTGCCTTATTTACTTTCATTGCTTGGAAAATATGAAACGTTATTTTGGTGTGATATTTTGGAGAGAAAACTATCGAAATGTAGGGAAGTTATATGATATATCCTATAAGTGGGAAGAAGAGAGAGAGGGAGAGAAAGAGAAAGAAAGAAGTCAAATACGGAAGTGTGATGTAGAGAGAATTTTTCGCATAAATAATGCTAAGTAATGTCCTTTTTTTAACTTATTTTCCTCCGCTTTTATGTTGTTTTTCAACAAAAGCTGATTCATTAAAATCTCGATGAAATATTTTTCAATCAGTGGAAAAAAAAACTTCTCGCTTGTGACATATAAGATTCAAGAATCAAGAAAAGCAAGCCTTCAGCCCTCAAGAAGTAATGTCAGCTGAAGGATTTTGGTTATTTGATGGTTTGGAAGAAGAACCATATGGCCTTTTACCGCTTGTGAATTTATCTGGAAAAGGTGGACCGACATCCACGAAATTTGTCGAAAGAATTGGCTCATATCAATGGTATTTGAATGACGAGACACCTACCATCGTTGTAAGTTTTTATCATTTTTCAGAAATAAATAATCTGATTTAAAACAATAAATATATTAATTGTTTTATGAACGGTCAACACATATACAGTAATTTTTAATTGAGTGTAAAAATTTATTACAAATTTCTTTCATTTCATTGAAGTTTTCATTTTGCAGTGGGTAATAACGCTATATTTTGCAGTCTAATTAGACTGCTGAAGTGATTAATTGGTAGTCAACTAAAATTCAAAGTTCATTTTTATTTAGATGCCCGGTATGCCTCCGGAATCCTTTTTCTGGGCAGGTGGCAAATTACAGCAGGATCACGGAGTAGTTATATACGATGTCAATCACTTAAAAGTTTGCTTTTTAAACATTGAAATGCATAAAAAAGTTAAGTTAGATGGAATTTGGATTTAAAATTCACTTTTTTAAAAACACCTTCATAGCCGCTATTTATGAGACATGACTGAAGTTTATTTACTTTCATCTTTACAAACCATCGGTATTTTCTCAGTAACAAGTTCAAAAATATGATGTTTAACTTAAAAGCACTTTACCATTATTGATTAATTCTGCTGGACCAATAGAAAGCCAATAATTTGAGAATTAGGTTATCATCCAAGTTGAAATTGATATTCTACCTGAAAATGCCATAGAGCATTATTATTTGTTAAGACAAATATTCAGTTTAATCAGCTTAATATCAACGATCTTTCAGATTCCTACTGGTTCGTTAGACACAGCAGTATTAGCTGCACATCACATAACAACAAAGGCAAAAAAACCAATTAATTTCAATGATTACAATTTTATCACCGATGCCGTAAACTTGCAAAAACTATTCGCATTTGCGCAGGAAGCGGGCGATGGATTGTTTCGAATTGATGCAGAACGAATAGGGAAAACAGTTTTATTAACAAGGTGATTGTGCGCTTTAGAAAGGATCACTTCCAGAACAACAAAACAATTTGAACCAAATTTTTATTCGTTAAATTTTTTGAGAATCCACCAATTAGTTCCAGCTCATTTTGATATTATTTCAGCAAAAGCATTTTGATTAAACATATTTTTTAAAAATATTCCAATCGCTAATCAATTTGATCTCGTTTCATAACTGCAACCAATATACCGTAAAATAAATATTAGCATCGTTCATATTGTTTAGAAATTTAATTTGTGATAATTTTTTTAAAAACAGCAATGATTTGTGACATAAAAATTCAGTTACTGATTTAAAAAGGCTGGAAACGGATGCGGTCCTTCTCCAAAAATTTTTTGAAAAGATTTTTATTTTTTTTTTAGAATGGAAGCATCAGATCTCATGGAAATTGGTCATGTAACATTTGATCAAGCACTAAAACGAAAAATGACAAAAGCAAGGTCGAGGTTTACTACTGGCCCATTTTTCCAGCTTGTTTCTTACCAGTTTGGCCAGTTCAAACTACTCGTACGATTCGAAGTTGACTGCGCTGATTATGCTGCTGTGAAAATGCAAAGGTAAAAATGTAATAGATTATGCGTAATTTCACATCTCATACATTTTATCTATTTAAATTTGATCTGCGTTTAGTTGATCAACATAAATCTTTTTCAAATTCCATTCTTAATTCACTCCCCTGCAATTCGTTTTTCATTTGCATTATTCCATATCATTGAAGAAAATTCGGCTCTTTCGAACGACTCCAGTTTAATTTTAGTGATTTTCAAAAAATTTTCTAGAGATCTTCGATCTTTGTGAATTTAAAATTCCGAAAACCGAGAACAACATCATTTTTGACTTCCTTGAATATAACAAATTTGCTGAAACATCTTGAAAATTTATAAAAATTGTGTAATCCAATGATCTGAATGACTACACTCTAAATTTTGAATCAACTAATTGGAACAATTACATTCGGACTGTAACTAAGATACAGTATATTCCGTAGCATCAAAATTCCTTGATCTCTACTGCCATTATTCGAATAGGGAATCATTTAAAATGTTTATTGACAGCATAATTTACATGCTTTTACAATATGGAATGGAAAATCAGATCAATAATTTTGCTATTTCTCATCAAAGTATTTTTTAATTGTCGGGATAGAGAAAACTAAAACAGTTGTGACTTTGCTTAATCTTTATTCACAACGAACAGCTGTTCCTCTTATAGCCCTCATAAACGGACTATGAAACCAGAAAATCAGTACATTGATCCATCTCACAAAGAGATTGTCTGAGTTTCTTACAACTTTCTCTGCAAAAAAATTTTAATCATAATTAAAAAGTGTGTGTTCAATACTAATTGCTGTGATGTATTTTAATGGGCAGCTTTTTTTTGAGAACTTTTAGGCTTCCAATCATGCTTGTCCTTTGCATGTTATTAATCACTCTTTGTACACATTGGCAAACATCTATCCTCTAGTTGGGTATGAAAGTTTTTGAATTATGCAACTAGAAATTGCAAAATGATTAATTTACATTGTAAACAAAAATGTTGATGAAGGTGATAATGAATCAAGATCTGAAGCAGATTTACTAAATGTATTAATTCATTTAATAGTTGAATCATTAATTTTGCAGTGACGACCATTTGGAAAAAGAAGGCGAATTGGAACCGAAAAAAGAAAAGTTTAATGAAAATAGTGCAATTTCATACATAGAATATGGTGAAGTGCCACGGAATGTTCCGTTGCAACTTTTAACAACTTATCCACAGGGTGCCGGATTTCCATTCTTTACATGGGCACAAATGTTTTTCACCACTGCAGATCAGGTTTGTATATTAGCTATTAAGTGAAGAAGATTGTGAGAACAATCAGTTACATGTCGCAATCATATACAGATAGATCTATAGTATTTGAGTAACAAATACATTGCGAAATTGACTTGAAATATTTACAAAGTAAAATTTCTACAGGAGATCGTCGGTTGGTTCAAAGGAAATGGTGATTTTGGAAAGCCAGCAATGAACACTCTCTCCGACATTTCTAAACTAATTAAACCTTTGCCCTATGTGGTACTGTCGAAAGTTCACGACTGTTTAGATAAAATTGCAAAATTTTTGATAAAAAATGATCCTGAATTTAAATGTGCTTTGATATGGAAAGGTAAAAATCATCTAGAAATTTTTGCTAAAACGAGTACCACTGGAGCTGTTTCACCTGGAGTAAAAGAAATGATGAAGACGCAATGCAAGGAACCAGATGAATCGGAAGAATGAAAGAGTGATAAGATTTAAAAAATTCATTTATCATTTTTCAATATGTCATCTTTGATAGTGGCACTCGAATTCAAATTATGCATATTCTATTGGAAAATTTTGAAGGAATGTTTTGTCTTCATAATTTTGAAGGAAATTTAGGCAGTGTTAGCTAATTTAAATTCATTGATTCATCTCTACAGCTCTCGTTATTTTTAATGATGTTAAATGAATTACGGTTTACTCGTTTCTGACGATGGATGAAGCATAAAAATAAACGGTTTCAGTAGACTTTACAGTCCAAAAACTGAGTTTCTTTATTTCAACATTCTAATATCAAATGATTCAAAATGGATTCATGTGAGTATTAAGAAATGCTGAGTTTTAATTTTATCAAATTAAGGAATCTGCTGCACAAATCCTACCTTTCTGTAGTTATTTCTAATTCATTGGAATTAAAGCTGGTTGTACCTGTATAGATTTTGTTTGAGGTTCCATAAGAATTTAAAAATTGACTTTAATAACTTTCATATCCGAGAAATACTAAAATTAGAGATAGGAAAATTGATAAAAGCATAACGTAAATGAATCATAGTTCTAAATTGAAAATTATTGACATTCTACTTCTGAAAGAGAAATCAAATGAAATTCATTCAGTCGTGCAGTTGACACCACTGTATAACAACTATGCGCGTATATTATTTTTTAACTGAAAAGTAGCAAAAAATTTGACAAGTGAATATCAGAAATCAGAAATCAATTTGAAGCACTTCAAAAGCCACTTAATTTTTATTGAAGAATGGAATTGTTGCTCTTTACAATGAATTTTTTTGCATAAAAAACGTATACATATTTACACCGTTGGCTTAGCAGTGTTGGCATAAAATTTCACCCTTGTTAGCATTATCGTGACTTGCGTTAAGCATAAATCGGCTTTCTAAAAAAAATTTACGCTTACACATGATCACCTTGTCCATATAGAGGAAAGTTTAATTTATTTATTAGCACTATGTCCAATATTATTCCCCTATGTATTGTTGAATAGATGTCTTTTTGAGAGCTTCAAATGAGTTCACTAAAGATTCAGTAAGCCAAAAGAAATGCGTATTATTAATCATGAATCTTTACGAATTCAAAGGTAAACTGTGCCATATTTTAATTTTTCTTCCTTTACATGATTCAAATAATGAAATATTATCTAAGTTCCCTAAATCCTGAAATATTCTCAATCACTGTCATCCAAATGCTTCCCCGTGAAAACTAAGCATTGCTAATTAAGGGCCTTTGTTCATATCACTAATCATGCTAATAATTCATAAATTAGAGACTTATTTTACAAAATATTGCATAAGAATTCCATAAACATAACAACACTCATTGAAGGAAGAAAAATCTCCGTTATTCATATTGTTCATGTTATCATGCTAGCAACGGTATTATCGAGTTCTATATTACGGTTATTTCTTATTTCTATTTATAATAACGATAGAAATAAATGCTACTTTCCTTGTACGCCATTGAAAATATTGATCGGAATCCCCGATATTTAGCGAGAAGATGGAGGTTCATGTAATATGGAAGTATTCAGGACATGTGAAGCATTTCTGATACATTCATCAAGCTGTTCGGAAAATCGAAATTAATTCCTATAATCAAGTAACTATATCTTTTAAAAAATTGTATAATCAAATGATTGACAATTTGAAAGAATTTCTCAATGATTCACCATTTGTAATGAATGTAAAAAAGGGTTTACAACATTTCATGTAACTAGCAAATTCTCATCATAAAAACCATTCCATATCTAAATGTCCATCGAAATATTTCTGTCTCGTTCTCAAATAAAATCCAATCACATGATTAATCTTATAATCCGCTGGTTTATGTTTAACATTTTTTTTATAAAAACATTCTTTCCCATGGCTATCTTTGCAACTAAACAAACTGCATCGCAACACTCCCATTAAATTCATTCTGTGTAAGAATTTAAATGCATCCAAAATTTCTCATGATCAAGCGGAAATCACGAGCTCGCATTCTCGCCCCGCATTTATCTATTCATTCTCAATCATTTTCATTATTGTTATCGAAATTATTCTCACAAATTTCCGAACAAAAGGAAATAAATCTTCAAATTTTCGTGCAAATCAATAACTCAATCAATCGTTTCCAACACAAAGCTATTCTCTAAATTGCACTAATGACAGGAAGGTTCGTGACGTGACATTCTTGAATTATGGAGTGATAAGAAACGGATTAGAAGTAATCATGACGTACACATCAAATTTAAAAGTATTTGATAGTATTTCGAATTGATTACCTTATTTAAATTATTCACTTTTTTGCATTTTTTCCACTTTTAATTTCTTGATGCTGGGAAAAACCAGAATTAGTTAGCAGTAGCAAAACGACGAGAAATGCCTAATTCACATTGAACATAAATATAAAAGGAAAATTTCAAGAGAAGTCAAAAGAATGAATTTTTTTTGGTGAGTTCTGTTCACATTATTTAATCTTATTTTATTTTGTAAGCAGAAATTCTACTGAATCAAAAACACAGTCTTCGAAATGACGGCCTTTAATGACTAAGAAGTCTTTCGAGAAAGCACAACATATTATTGATGTCATTCAAAATTTTTGTACTTTAAAAGATTTTATTCAAGTTTAGACATAACATTTATGTTTACAAAAATGGTAATCATCTGAAACATAATTTTATTCTTTCTTCTAAACTTTACGAAAAAGATCGACTGTTTGGGAACATTCGACGATACATAAATTGTAATAGAGGAACTCTTCCTGGAAATATTCGTCTTCTCATATTAATTATACTTTAGTTAGTACATGAAAATAGATAAATAGATAGGTATTTATATATTGCACTAAACTTCTGCGTTAAAAGTTTCAGTTTGATGAATAATGTTAAAAAGAAATTCATATGAACGAAATTACATCACTTATATGCGCAAAATAAATACTTATTGATTAATAAGAATTTGACAATTATCAGAGAGTTGGAATTCAAACAAAAAAGGACGGAATTTAAAAATGAAGTTATTTTCCATCAGAATGCAAATATTAACCAATACAAATTTATTTTTTTTATATTTTTCAACGCTCATAACAATCTTTTAAGTCGACATCAAAAGGGGTGAATAACTCTTGAAGTATTACTCAATCGATTGATCATTCGATTGTTTTACAATGTTCAATTATAAAGGAAGTTGAATAAATTCCAGAAATACTATGTGAACAATGAATTCCACAGGTTCAATACATACATGTAATCCGAATTTCACATATTCCATAAATAAACGGCATTTGTTGGATACCACCAACACCACCAATAGCAGAAATAGAGTTTTCCTGGTTGAGGAGTTGACGTTAAAACGACAGATGATGTAGTTCGAAGGATTGGTGTTGAAGTTGTCGTTTCCAAAGTTGCTTTTGTTGTTGAATCATTAACTGTTGAGGTAAAAATAGTTTCAATTGATGGAGAAGTTGTAGTTAACGAAAAAGCTGTCGTTACTGCAGATTCTGAAGTTGTGGAGTTTGACGTTATTGGTGTTGTGGAGTTTGACGTTATTGGTGTTGTGAAGTTTGACGTTATTGGTGTTGTTGAATTGCTGCTTTGTGACGCATAAGGCTATAATAATATATTGTTAGACGTGAATATAATAGGAATATTGGAAAATTATTGATAAAAAAAATTGTCAAGAAAATAAATTAGAAGAGATGAAATTCTATTCTTTTTCTGTTGTCTATTTCACCTACTGACACTAATAATGCGGGTAGTTTTGAAAATTTTTAATTTCTTATCCGAAGTTTTGTTAAATTAACAAAGAAATAGTAGTGATTTGTATATGAAAGAAATAATTAGTGAAAATTTAGACAAATATCGGAAATCAGTGCAAAAATGTATCATTTCATTTAGCGAATATTTCAGATTGGAGTAAATTTCAATCCTTTCCTTCCTCATGCTTTAATTCATTGCTTTTATCAGAAGATTCTAATTTATTCTTATGGAGCAATGTGGTTGAGAGTGAAGAATAAATGGTTTGAAAAAATTAGCTGAGAGTCTAATTTTTTCATTTCAATATTCAAGTTAATGATATGCTATGAATATAAATAGCTAGTCGCTAAAATTCTAAAATAAAAATGTTGTCGAACGAAATGAAAATTGAATAAATTACGTAAAACACAATAAAAGCAATGATAACGAATTCCAATCTTTGTGTTTTCATCGTTTAATTTGATCGATCGAGTCCAGGCTAAATATAAAAGCAATATTTATAGATAAAATCATTAATTATTAAAACAATGATTAAGGACAAATTATTAATTACTCAAATTCCGATTTGCATAACATTAAATTACTTTCCTATTTGCCATTTAATTCAGTATAATTTATGAAATCCTTGTGTTTTAAGTTTAATGAAACTTTCTGTTTTACTTTCTATGGCAATAAATTAGATTTTACTTGACCCGCTTCCCATTTTCAAGCAAACTCTCATTTGCACAACATTTGGAAAGAAGAAAGTATAGCGCCTATCCTTTTTCTTGTAATGTATGGTAAAAACCGATGAAGCATTTGGTATTTAAATTCCACTTCGATTGAAATATGCCAGAATTGCTGTTGGGCCGAACATCATGCGAATGTACTGAAAAACTTGAAGACATTTATTATATAGAAATTATTTTGCACTTGTGGAGTAATACAATTGAATTGAATGTAAGCATTGCCTTTGAAATAGCACTACTCATCCGAAAGCTTCAGGAAAGCAAGCATTGTTTAAGGTATCACACCAAAGAACTCGCATTTTCATTTAAATTATTTTTCTTGCAAATTGGGAAATAAAAGTACAAAATATAAAAATCTTGAAAATACAAAAAAATAGTTTGTTCCATTAATTTGTAATGTTAGAATCAGAATTGTATAACGGAAGTTTGATTATATCCAAATTGCTTCCTATACAAAAATTTTTTATTTTCCTTTCATTTTTCGAAAATACTGAAAAAAAGTCAAAAATATTCTAAACTGTGACGGGCATCAATCAACTCTAATTACTCACAGCAAATGCATTTTGCTCAGAATGAAGTCACTGGATGGGAATTAACAAAAAATTTCACAAATGTTACAAAAGTTTGCATATATCCATTTTCATGTACTAACTAAAGTATAATTAATATGAGAAGACGAATATTTCCAGGAAGAGTTCCTCTATTACAATTTATGTATCGTCGAATGTTCCCAAACAGTCGATCTTTTTCGTAAAGTTTAGAAGAAAGAATAAAATTTGAATGACTTCAATAACATATTGTGCTTTCTCGAAAGACTTCTTAGTCATTAAAGGGCGTCATTTCGAAGACTGTGTTTTTGATTCAGCAGAATTTCTGCTTACAAAATAAAATAAGATTAAATGATTTTTTTCATTTATTTTGTTTCGGATTAATATTTCGCAAAATTATTTCTACGATGATTTCTTTTTAATTTTGCACTTGAAAGAATATTTTATGTACATATGTGCTTATGTAAATCATCAATATTAAGCATTACTACGGATTCGTCGATTCAACCTGATCTGGAATGTTGCGTGCAGAACTCGCAAATCCGTTAATTAATTTAAAATCTCTTGTCATTTAATATGAAAATGAAATAAATTCATTGTTGAAATTCGAATGAATGCTAATTATATCGGTCTTTTCAATGCTTGTTAGTTTTTTCAAAAAATGCAAATTTTGTGAAATTATGTGAACAGATAACGACTGGATAAGTTAAAATTCTCACATTGTTTTTAATCAACTATTTTCATTGTGGTTCATTGCATTCATACTAACGGTGGTGTAAAAGTAATGGGTAAATTTTCTCTTCCTTTCTATTTTAAAATTCGAAAATTGTTTGCTGTTTTGGAAAAAACTCTGTAACATTTAATTCTGATTCTTGATTTAATCAAATGTAATAAAATTATCTTACAAAAGAAAGAAAAAGGAATTGGAATGTTTTAGGGAAGTTCTGTGTGGTACTGTTTATATCAATAAATATACTTTGCATCTTTGAAAACACTTTCTTAACTGTTTCCGTAAGTTATACTGTTATTGCACAGTTTTCTACAGTATGAAACCATGTAAGTCAAAATTATCTCGTTTTAATCACTTATCAAAAACTGAGCCTAAGCCAAAAATTGAGCCTTGATAGCAATTATGGATTGTCGGAGTAAGCAAAAAGTGTATAAAATATATCGCATTAACCAGTTTTGTACAATATATTCAGGCCAATGATTTGATGTCAATGATCGAAGATGCAAAAATGCAAAAAATGGATGATTTAAATGAGATAATCAATTCGAAATACTATCAAACACTTTTAAATTTGATGTGTACGTCATGATTACTTCTAATCCGTTTCTTATCACTCCATAATTCAAGAATGTCACGTCACGAACCTTTCTGTCAGGTTGATGTTATCTGATGTGTAATGACGTCACGATCAATGCTCATACGATTCATGTAATCAAGGGTGTAGAATGAAGGCTGATTGTCTTTTTAGATCATTTAGTGCAATTTAACGAATGGCTTTGTAAATCTATCAGAAATGCTTCACATGTTCTGAATACCGCCATATTATATGACACTCCCATTTCGGGAATTCCGCCCGATATTTTCAATGGCGTACAATAAAGATAAAGTAGCATTTATTTCTATCGTTGTTATAAGCAGGTAAAAAATAACCGTAATATCTGTCACAAATGCAGCAACCAAAAAAGAAGGGCGTCGAAAAAGGCAAGTCGAAGAGTCAGCATATTTGGAAGCTAATCGAATATTCACAAAACTTGATAATACCGTCGCAAGCATGATAACAACTGTCGCAATTCATGAATTGAACGATATGAATGTGTTTGTTCATTTTTCCATCAGTCATTAATAGGCTTATTAAATTGCATAATTAAATGATATTTTGAAATTTTTTGAAAAAAAAGAATGCTTAAAAAATGATTTGAGTCTTCAAGTATCACTGAGACTAAAGCAATGCTGCTAAATCATCGGGATAATGAACATGGCAGAAATTACGAACAAATATTGATTAACATGCAAGGAAGAGGAAAGTTAATTTCGAAAATTTCTTTTCGTGGTATATTTCAACAAATTTTTCATTTCAATTTCATTTTCTTTTATAGTTATATCGCAACAAAATTAAACTGCTTGAAATATGTTGCAGAAACTATTCAAATGATTAACAAACAAACTGATAATGGCAGCATGTTTGTCTTACTATTAATTCAATCATGATTTTGAATATCAATTTTTATCAGTAATTAACCAGCCTATTTCAATTTAATTAATTAATCACATTGCATGAAAAATATTGCATAAAAATATTGTATAAAGTTGCATAAAAATAAACAGAATTGAAAAAAAGTAATTTCTGCAGAATATGGATTTTTATGTTAATCATTTATTGGATGTTAGTACCTGTATTCATTTGGATTGCAATTATTTTATTTATGTGGAAAAATCTTCGATCACATTGGCGTAAAATTATCGTACCATTGGCAACTGCGGTAAGACAATGATCAATACCTCAACGAGATGATATTATACTGAAATATAATAGAATGACCGTTTGAGGCACTCAATTATATATTTTTGATAGTTAAAGTAACATAAGCTATCGTGCGCACTTTTAGAAGCATTGTGAAGTGAGCGGTAATCTACTAAACGTGAAAAACGAAATTATGACAATGCCAGCATGGGACGGTTCGTTATTTCTTTTTTTCACAAAAAACCATCCAATATTTTGAAAGGTCTTTTCTGTTGAAATTATTTCATTTGTGATTAATTAATTCCATTCACTCGTTTTATTTAGGATTAATATTTTGCAAAAATTTTTTTGTTAAGATCACTTCATTTTGAATTTGTTTCTAAAGACATTTGAGATAATATTTTGTGTGTATAGGTCTATCTATAAATCATCAGTACTAAGAATTACTGTAAGATATGTCTTTGATCGAGTCTGTTCTGACAATTGCGCTATCCAGAACAGATAATTGAGGTTATAACTGAGATTTTTAGATAAGATGTGGAACGAAAAGTATTGTTAAAAATGCTAATGGATTGATTAGCAAATTACTTGATTGAAAATTCTGCATAGAGAAGTGAAAAAGCAGTTTTTTCTAGATTCTTGATAAATTAGGCTTCTGAGAAAAAGCTGATACTGACCAAAAAGTTGATCTACTGATCACTGTTTGTTGATTTTGCTAGCTATAGTTTTGTTATAATTGAAATTGTTTTTACTTTTTAATCATTTCTCATTTATTTCTATCCTAATTTATGCACTATTGAAATTTTTGTTATTAAGAATTAAACAAAAGCATTATTGGAATTTTTGTTAAAAAATCATTTTTCGTTCTTTTGTTATTTTTCTGCATTTACGTTTTTAAGATAATATATTACAACCACTTTCAAGAATTTACGTTTTTTTTCACAATTTTTTCCGCTTATCTTATATTTTTTGAAATTTTTGAATAATTTTTAATGATTCCCCTATTTTTAATTTACATTGAGTTATAGCAACTTCTAATGATAAGAAATGTAAAAAAGTTGTACAGTTCTTAAGAAATTGGAAACACAGAGTGGTTCTCTAAATATTGATAATAGTCCGTTTTACTGATACAATTTGGAGTCTTTTACGTCCCACGAAAATATTATCAAATATGTGAAATAAGCAAGACATTATGGCGACAAAATCAGCTCCTAAATTCTTGCGTCATTTCAGATACTCTCATTTACTTCAATAACTCACATCAGCAGTTTGTTTAATTGAGTCATTTCGAAATATGCTTGGGCAGAGATGAATTGTCTCTCTTTAGTATACTTTGAAATGAATGATGAACTGAAATATTTTCAATATCATATTCAATGTTATTTATATTTAAATAAAATGTTTGTAAAAAAATATGGCATGTTTTAGATAATAAAAAATAATTACACCATTGATTTAGGCGTTCTGGAAGCTCGATTCGAACAGACAACCCAATCAGAGCGTGACGAAATTAAATGGTCGCCAGAGGAGGAAGCGGTTGAAATACAAAATCAGCAAGAAAATAAGAAAATCACGCAAAAGTGAAAGGATAATATATATACAATTTAAAATTTTTAACAAACTTATCAATTTGAGTCCAACGAAAACTTTCTAATATATATAAATTTTTCAAAAGTTTTTCGGAATACTGAACGTCAATAAAATGGATAAAATGAAAATTTGACGAATATTTGAAATGAATATGTGATCAGTCTTTTACATGCGTAAAAAATAAAAGTAAATGTATAAATTAAAAATAAAAGTAAAGTGTATAAATAAAAGTAATGTATCATATGAAAGATTTGAAAGACATTTTGTCACAAGTACCACTTCTTTGTATTACAAGATATCAAAATTAAAAGTTTCAGCTTTTTCTATCGTTGGTTAATCACTATGACTTCCTCCTCACCATAATTAATTTGAATAAATTAAAAAAAAGATACGACAGATATGTTAGAAATGTGATGATGACTTCCTGACTGATTCTGTAAAACCAATATATTTGTTGGCTATTAATTGTCTCATTAATTGAAATATAGGATTTCTAATTCTTATTTAAAAAAGTAAGAGTCTAAAATTTTGTAGCCGAGAAACTATATTTCCAAGATATTCAGCAAAAAATAATTATGCAAAAATTGAAACCGAATTCTGGAAATATTAAGTAAATGTGTAAAATTGATACCAAAGGATGAATTTGCAGCCTGTTCTAATGAAATTAGTACAGTTTGATTTCACCTTTTCACATTTGATATTACGAGTACATAATTTCTTTGTACACTTTCGAAATTAATATGTATGTTTTGAATTAAAAATGATTTTTAATGAGCATTATTATCAAACTTCCAATTCTGATTCTAACATTACAAATTAATGGAACAACCTATTTTTTTGTATTTCCAAGATTTTTATATTTTGTACTGTTTCTCAGTTTACAAGAAAAATGGTAAATTTAAATGAAAATGTGAGGTCTTTAGTGTGATACCTTAAACAATGCCTGCTTTCCTGAAATTTCGGATGAGTAGTGCTATTTCAAAGGCAATGCTTACAGTTCAATTCAATTGCATTATTCCAAAATACAAAGTGAAACAATTTCTATATAAATGTCTCCCAATTTTTCAATTCGGTCCAACAGAAATTTTGGCATATTTCAATCGAAGTGAAATTGCATGTTATTGTTTGCATATTTCTATTATATTTTGCTATACTGCTTTATTTGATCTCCACAGTTGCAATCAGAAAGGATGGAATCACCTTGTTCAGAATTATTACATTCACTTCATGTGATAAGAGTACACCAGATATTTAGCTTTTTATATCAGTTGTTACTCTTACAATTTTTATGTTAAAATGGTACCAAATTGTGTCATGTCATGCAAAAGCTTTTCAACTTTCATTTGGTCCAGCAAATACTTAAGTTTAACAGATTTCGAGAAAAAAGTTCGAGATTTAGTTACTGAAATGTTTTTGGGCATCTTCGACGATTTATCTGATTGATTTGAATTAATTTCACCACTTTTCACCGCTTTATCTCATTTTTAATATTCTTTTTTAGCAATTCGATTCCAGGAAGTTATTACGTAAAAAGCGAAACCGAATAATGCCAATATGACAACATATGTAATGGTTGACCAAAACAATTCCGGAGCTGTAAGATTGGCTACATATGTTAGTCACACGATTATTGTCATTGAATGTTAACTTTCACATTTATTATAATTGTGTTATTACATTTCATTCACATAGTAATCAGTTTACAGATGCTAATTTATATATAACAGAGGAAGTATTACCCTTTTCATTATCTCGTTGAAAGACGTAAATTCGATAGAGAAATACAAATATGGTCAGTACAGCCATTATTATCTATAAATCAAAGTCAGTATATGAAGTATTTATTTTGATCTTCGTAAGTAGTTTTTAATATTGAATTAGAGTAAAATTTAAAAGTAATACAAATGGAATTGAAATCCGAATTCTTTTTTCAGATCATTTGAACAATTTATGTTTTGTCAAGATTTATTTCAAAAGAAGAAAAATTGCCATTTTTATCATCAACTAACAATCATCCAAATTAGCGATATAATAAATAACTTTCGCTCAGTTGTAACTGCGAATACATTAACGATTGAAACGATAAGAAGTACAATAATAAGCAAAAAATTTGGGATTGAATCTAACGTGAATCCATAATCAATGAGGCTACGTGTACAAAGTACCATCGTTGCAACTAAGAATAGTACCAATAATATATATATCCATATCTTAATTTATACTTCATTTTCATTTCAATTTTACATTTGTTTTAGTTAATTTAATGGAAAATATTGTGGTGGCTCTATTATGGTATTCCATACACAGCAATACTATTTACACAAACCATATTATTTTAGCTTTAATTTTTAGCAAAATACAAATTTTCCAAATGCTCACTGTGATCGGTAGAGAAAGCAATTTGTCGCTTTTCTTATCCGTCTTTATATCATCAAAGTTATGATCTTCTAGCATTTTTCTATCAACGAATTTTCCTTCTAAGATTCGTTATAAGCCAGCTTTTGTCGTTTAAAATGTTGTGGCAAAAAATTTCCTCACTACAATGACCATCGATATTACAATGATCACTCTTAAACAATAATACAAACTACCAGTTCTCAATAGCTCTTAAGGCAATGAAAATAATTAATTGCCAACAATATTTATACGTTTCTCATTGTTCATTTATTTTGAATAAATTATATTTCCGTTGAAATTTATAATAAATTATTTAGGCATAAATATTAAATGCAAATTTCAGCATATATAAATAATGGGGAGAGAGTGTCACTTTCATCATTTATTTCATTTTCCTATATTAACAATTGGTCAATTAGTATGGCATTTTCTTTTATTAGTAAATGCTTTCTTTCTTGACCAATAGCGATTCTTGTTTATCTATCGATGAAAAATTTTCAACCTTACTAATTTATTTATATGTTCCTTGATATTTTTGCAGGTAAACTGTGGATCGTAATTGCTGTCGTTTACTTGTTAAATACAATTGAGCCAGGCGATGGACAATCTCCTTTTAAGAAACCAAAAAAACGACGTTATAAATTGATTCCGTTTTATGATGGTGAAATCAAAATTGGCGATCCTAATAAGCCCGTAAGATTTTTCAAAAAATTTTGAAAAATTATTTCTGGCCAAAGGTTAGTTTTATCAAATTTTTTAACAACAAAGGAAGAAAAATGAAAGATTGCATCCACGATTGAATCAGCATTATAATTAAGTCTTTCTAAGTTGTGCTAGGAGCGAATAAATATTTGATCTATTCTGGAACACAAAGTGGCCTTTTATCATGTATATTTCACTTTTTTGTTTCATATTGCGGCCTTTTTTCATATCATATTCAAAAGCCCATTTGTTTATTTTGTTAATTTACTTACGTTTTTTTAAATGGTCCAATTAACAGGCTTTGATACGAGATCTGTTACTACTAAGCCATGTATTGAATGATACCGCAAACACGATTTTTGGTTCCAAGGATATAGCACGAGATTTACTGACATTTTTCGTCAATTTAGATCAAATAATGGTGTTAGCAGCTTTTCTTTGTTTAAAGAGGAAGGAAACATGAATGGTTAATTATGTACGGCACTTTCAAAAGTTCAAAAATGTTCTCTAAAATAATAATCAGCAAGTTTGCTGAGTATTGTAGAAATTTTTTGCAGGCAATGGTTATTTTTATTTTTGATATGTTCAAGCTTTTTTCACATGGCTGCATGCGCTTGCATTGGTTGCTGCGCGTGTTATGTTTTCAAAACTGATATTAGAAGCACGCTCAAGGTAAAATTTTGACAGCAAAGAATAAAATTTTAAAAACCTGATAGGACTGTATAATTATGAATTACAAAGAAATTTAAGAATAGCTCGAAACTAAACTTGACGGAAAATCGTTATAATTATGCAATCAATGAGTTAGTAATTTCAATGAATTTTAGTTTGCAAAACGCCAAGCTAAGTCACTTGATCAGACTAAAAGCGCAAATGAAGTACCAAGAGGAGAGTCAACCAGTGTAACCACACAAGCAAAAAAATTTAGTGGTTGGTTTTGAATTCAGAATTAAAATTTTTGTTTTATTTTTTTCCTTGCTGTCATTATAACTACTTCCCATTTTCTTTGTTGTATATATCAGTGGATTATGGATAATGTACAAGATTAAGAAACTTTCTTATTCTTAAAAACGAAATTTCCAATTTTTGTCGGTCACTTCAAAAATCACATTTTCCTTTTAGTTAGCGCCACACCAACCTAATTATTTAACAAGTGAATCTGATAATAACGGTTAGTTCAAAGTCTATTTTCCTAATCTGAAACTAACAATTAAAGTATTCAGAAAAAGTATTAAAAGACTTCCAAACCTATTTGTAATTTAAATTGAAAAAATCTTTTTTAGATTTGAAAGTCAAAATTTAATGATGAAAAATTTTGGAAATGAACTTGTTCTAAGCTTTTGCCAAAATTCAAATCATTTTATACAAAAAAACAGGCATTGAAAACAGCACATTATTAATTTTAATAACATTTTAAGTGAGATGCTAAGCTTCAAAAAATTTGAAAGTAAAAATTACGATTTCTTGTATTCCAATAAATTCTGTAATTTTTCACTCAGCGAATCTTCTAAACTGTCGGGAGATTAAAAAATAAATGAGCATTAATGAATAATGATTTGAGGAGTTGATTTCTGATTTCTGAAATCAAATATTTCACATATCGTCCGTTATTTGAGAAAAATCTATGCAACGATGGAAATAATTTCCCATAAATCATATACGGTGAAGGTGAATGAAATCAACAAAAATCTTGATTTTTGTGATAATTTCCTAAGCTCCTGTCAAAATTCAGATCATTTATTCATAAAAAATTTGAATGTATGCAAACATTGAAAACAAAAACTAATCTGAAATGTCAATATATTAAATCTCATAAAATTAACAAAACCAGAACGTTTGAAATGAATTCTTCGAAGTTATTTTTCTTAATTTTGATTCCATTTTAAATTATCACAATGCAAAATAGTGTTAATTTCCAGTGCAAAACTGAGATCACAGAATGCAAAACTGAACTACATTTAAAAAGGCAGTAAGATAAAACGCAATTAGACTGATGATTAGACTGATAATTTGCGAGGGCAATTACTCACCAAGCAGTTAATTGCTCATGGATGTGTAAATTTGCTCTCAGTACTGACGTCCGAAATCACTGTTTGAACGGCGTTTTATAAATATACTTTTTGGATTGCTTACATCGTCGAAAGTTGATTTCGAATTCTAAAATTTAATTTTAAAAAATTCGCGATACATAAATGCTTAATATTGGAATTGCAAAAGACCCATTCCTACTTTAGTCAGGTAGTCTATAATTTCAAAATAATATAATTGGGCTGATGTGTTAATTTATATCGTTTCATTTTTTTTAAAGGAATTTTCTCTTGTTTGAAAATTTTCCTGATGATATAATTTATTTTGGTTTTAAAACATTCGGCAAAGTGAAGAGTTTTCTAGCACTGTGTACTTACTTTCTCTAAATTCTTGAATGTATACTAGAAGTAGAAAAAGCAAAATTCAAATTCAAATTTCTAAATAACTATAAAGTATTATCATTCTAAGGCTCAAGTTACTCTTCCGAATGGCAAAGTTGTCGATAAAAAATTTAGTGAGTAATGCAATTCAATTAGATAATATTTGTACAAATGCGATAGGCGTTCGAACCTCTTGTTTCTTAATCGTATCGGACAAACGCTCAAATTGCGATGGATTTCCAGAATACAATGAAGCTTTGAGCAGCGATCTGACAGAGCCTTTTTCATTCCTGAATCACCATAACTTTAGTATATTTCGTACAATCCCAATTTATACTTTGCAACAATTCTTAAAATCTCAGGCTGTTGAAAGAAGAAAATGCAGACTGGAATTGGTTAGCGATGAAAAAAACTATAACTTTCTATTGTAAATTCAAATTAAGTAGCAATCATCCACTCAAAACTGTTTAAAAGCATTTTAAATTATGTACCGTGCCGCACGAGCAATTTTAGTCACTTTCATCGCATTTATATAAGCAGATACAGTAAGATGCAAGAATCGGCAAAAATCCGTCACAAAAAGATCGAAATCCGGATTGAACTGGATCGAATTGATCAGCTCCAACTTCGAATCTGAATGTATTAATGTTTAATATATATTAATGTTATATATCTGAATGTATTAATGTTTAATATTTATTTAATAAAAAATTTAGATGTTTAATACATCTTTATTTTCTCAGTAATAGTAATTATAATAAGCAGTATTTTCATCCAATGGGAAAGCAGATATTTTATCATTTTTTTTGTTGGCATTTTCTTGTTATTTAGAGGCAGTGATAACAGAAGAGAAACTTCATTTCATAGGGATAATCGAAAGAGTAATAGATATCTTGATGACAGCTAAAACAAACTTTATTGTTATTGTCATACTGTCTTGCAACATCTATTACCTGAAAAACTAAAATCATTTTCGTCGGTTATCAAATTACTGTCAATAAGTTCATTCAGTTGATCTAAAATTTCATTTCCAAACGGTGTCCAAGGACCAGCTTCAAACTCCATCTGCAATCTCGTTTTTTATTACTAAAATAAGCTACTGCATTCGGTTTCATACTTTACCGAACGGACAACATTAAAAGAGATATTAATAGTATTAATTTAATTGATCAACATCATATAACTATTTAAGACAATAAAACTTTTGCATAATTTCATACAGTGACTTACATTTCCCAATTTAACAGTAGCACGGCCTTCCAGAATTACAACAAAACGAAATGCCGGTTTATTCATGCAATACATAGGTACTGCTTCACGCTGCTTTGCTGAATAACCTGTTATTTGTGGTGAATAGGACATGTCAATCTGTAAAATATGTTAAAATTCAACAGAATACAATACTGCCTTTGCTTTGCCTTTATATACTATCGTTACTTTTTTCCACATTATCATTTATGACTGCAGTGAAATATGCATAAGTTGATTTTATGCTTTTTTTTGCCAGAATATAAAATTTTTACCTGTCTGATACTACGCTTAAGTAAATGAGCTAATGCTCGTCGTTCGACATACTTATCAGTGAAGAGTATATGATATTGTTGCAAAAAATGTATTGTCATTTGTTCCATATGCACCGATAATTCTTTGCTATACTCTTCACTTGTTAGCAGTTTAGTAAAACTTGGTTCCTGAAATTTGCAACAAATTGCTTTGTTATCATCACATATCTTATCAATTATAGTCGTTCTTCTGAAAAAATGAAATTATCAGTTGATCATAGGACCACTTTTTTACTATCATCAGTGTGCTTTACGTATATCGTTGCAGCTACAAAGAAAAGTTCACTACTTGCTTTATTTTGCAAGAATGAACTTTATTATCTACCTTAACACGTTTCCTTCTTGATCTATGTGTATTATCGATAACCGAATCACTCTCATCAATGATTTCCGATTGCAAAATTTCTTCCACAATATCTTCTAGTGTCACAATACCGAGTAGATTCCTTGTTTGTCGACTTAGTTTTCGATCATATATATTGTGAACACTTTCGACAATAGCCAAATGATAGTTACCCTGCAAAGTTTTAAATAGGATGTCAATTGTAATTTAATCCATTACACTGTCGACAGGTGTATTCCGAAAATGAAACATAAAAAACAAATTGAATAAATTTTTTAGATAAGTGTTAAATTAGGATAAACTTGCTGTTTTGAATTCATCAAGCATGGAATGCAATGGCTTGTTTGCATCAACAAATCGCAATGGATGGTGATGAAATTCGCAAACTGTTTTGACGGTGAAATTATCGTGTGGATCGATCAGAGCCAAATCCTTCACCATTAGAAGAGCTTTGATATTGTTTCGATCGTCATCCTGAGCTTATTCAAAGTAACTTGAAAATGCTCCATTATTAAAGTGGTATAGAATTTACTGATGCGCACAATTGAAAATTCATACTAGTAAAAAAATTTATTCAAATTGTAAAAGTAAGAAATCAGGATGAACAAAAATTAGTTGAATGAAATAAAATTAAATATATGAAAAAAAGGAATAACGTTCTAAGTAAATTGAATAACGGATAGATTGTTTTTTTTTTTTTTTTTTTTATAACTGAATGTTTCAACTAAGAGTATGAAGAAAAAAATAAAGCTACATAACAAAGTATGAACTGAAACCCCGAACTAGGAAGTAAACTTAAATTATAAATTATAAAATGTAATATTGAGATAGTTAGGATTTCAAAAGGAAAGGGATTCAATTAAAAACAATACATATGAATAAAATGTTCTTTCTTTGACATCGTGATAAACGAATTTTCTTCCATGAATCGTTAAAATATCTTAACTAACTGCATAGATTGGTATTCTGGAATAGCCACGTCTCATAATCTCGACAATTGTTGCTGCACTGATGACCGTATCTTCAGATAACATGAATACGTCCTGTTACGTAAATGCTTTAATAAAGTGTAAAATTTTTTTTCAAACAATTTCCTAAGATAATATGAAAATTATTTCACGCATGATTGCATGACCGAACTTGTGATATTTGTTCCAGGTTAAGCTAGGACCAGAGAAAAAAATTTTCAATATTAAAACAATAGCTAAAAATGTTAATTAATAGGTAATTTGGAGTGTAACAATCGAAAATATTCAACTGAAGCACCTCTATTTTAGTAAGCACATCCCCAACTGTTTTCTCGCATATTTCCATAGCACCAACAGCTATTTTCAGATCAGCTGCTAATTCTTGATTCTCTTCGCATGCAGTCATCTTCATTAAATTTATCAGCCTTAACTTTATTCATTTAATGATAATGTTGCAATAAATCATTTCAAGATAATAATTACAGGATCTTTGGACTCTTAATAAAATCCGAAATAAAATCCATTTTAAGATAATAACCAATAAAATGTTTAGGTTCTCGTTATCGAAGTAAATATATAAAAAGAGAAGAAAATCAACTAACTTTTGGACAATTCAAACAAAATCTTTCATGAATACAATCAACAAATTCTAAATGTGCAATAGTTTGGAAATTGATGTTTAGCTCGGATTTAAAATATTAAGTTGCAAGCATTTTCTTATAAGTTAAACCATCGAAGACATTACTTACTTGCATCGATCATATACCGGGGTATCTTCGCCAAGGAAAACATCCAGAATTTTGCTAATCGGATATGAGAAAGGAAACGTCAGAATCATAAATGTTCGCGTCAACCAAATTGTATATGCACCAACTGCTAGGCCTTTCCTGAAATGATTTTACTTTATACTGTTTTGCAAAGTAATATTAAAATCTTTTTCTAGAAATCCACTGATAATATATACAAAGCATTATGTTAATTTAATCCCAATTTCTGATTTGCTTATTTCCTATCAAAATTTGTGGTCTGAAATGTAAGTTTATTATTGGCAAAAAATTTTCTAAAGGAACAATTCATAAATCTTTTGCTGATCCCTTTAATTATTTTATGCTTTTGTTTTAATACTATTGTTTGCACAATGTCTGAAATTATAAATTCTATTACGAAACGACACATTTTGTACGGGACCTTCTATTTTCATTAGTTACTCATTTCAAATTTCAACACATTGCTGAATGCGGTTGTATTCGTGTGGTGGTCTATCTGTGCAGGCTTATGTCCGTGTGGTTTATAGGTATAGCCTATGTTCGTGCGATCTCTATGTACAGGCCTATGTCAAGGCATTTTATATAGGTGTTTAATACCTAAAACTAACTTAACACAGATACTCTGTGGGATGATTTCACCAATGACAACAATCCCAACGGATGAAATAATAAATGCAACCATTCCACTGGTCATATCCTCGAAGAGTATTGAAATGGCTGCATTCACCACGACATTCATGATCAATATTGTGCATAACAGATAGTTACCCAATTGTCGTACCGGTAGTATTGTTTCTGCATATTTCCGTTCCGTTTTTGAGCCTAAATTGAGAAGTGATGTTTTCCTGAATTGAACTTTTTCTTTCAATCGATCTGTTATTAGCAGTACAGCTGTAATGTTTCTAATTAGGCATATATTTTATCCAGAGGAAGCTAGCATTTGAAAGGACGCTTTTTATTTGGTTATGAGAAAGCTTTTCTCAAAAATTTATAGTTGAAACTTTTTCGTAATTAAATCAGTTTAAGAAAAAACATCAAATTTAGCTTGATTCAATAATTTGTAGCAC